GAAACAGGAAATGGCATATCCAAGACTTGAGCCCCACCCATTTCTCTCCACACCATAAGAGAAGCTCCTGAGATGCTACCCTCAAATTCCTGGTGCTCCCTTTTCACTATGAATTTAAGTTTATTCTTTTCAAAATGACCATAAACATGTACAAATTAAAAACCTGAAAACTCCAGCTGAAAGATTCCAATTTATTTTTACACTAATGACACAAATGAGCTTCACCATAATTAACAGGAATACCGAACATTCCCAATGCATCTTAAAATAAAGCTCAAGGAACCCCTGACTTACAAAATCCACTTCAGAAAGAAGCTATATAATTTAGTGAAGATGCAGGCAGCCAACCATTCAACATCTCCAGTGCTTGCTGTTTGCGTCTGTTCACAAAACCGGGAGATCCACCGAGGAAGGAAAGGAGACTTTATTTTTAGAGGGAAATACAACCTGCAGATTGGGGAATGCAGCTTACAGGAAAAAACAAAAATGCATACGCTGCAGAAGGGAGGAAGGAGCTGGATAGTGTCTTACAGAGTCAGCCTTACATACATACTGAGCAAGGTTGCTGAGGATCTACTAATATTTATGAGGAAATTCAGGCATCTGTACAGTGAATCAATGTGTATGTATCATACATTCCATGCTCACTTTGGGGTGGAGTTCTAGCATTAAAATGAGATGGAATTTGGCTCTTTACATCAACGGGTGAACTATAGGGCACAAAGACATTTTACGTGCAATTTCTATAAGCTGGCGGAAACCGGCTTGAGGTCTGCAGCTGTTTATCAATAAAGAATGTTTATAAGACCAGTCCTTTGTCCAACTGGAGTTGTAGTAGGACCGCAAGGCATCGGCGGGGGTGTGTAGTGAGGGAGGGAATGTTTCCATTGGCTGGCATTAGGCAGTCTATCGGGGTCAGTTGGAAATTTTCCAGCTGAAGTTGTGTTGGCTGGTTTGTACTTACTTAATAGCAGTTAATAATGCAAAAATACGTAACTAACCCCTCATCCTTCTGGCTGTGACAGTCTGGGGTTTTTTTTGTTTGCTTGTTTTTTGTTTTTTGTTTTTGAGATGGAGTCTCACACTGTCACCAGGCTTGAGTGCAGTGGCTTGATCTCGGCTCACTGCAACCTCCACTTCCCAGATTCAAGTGATTCTCCTGCCTCAGCCTCCCGAGTAGGACATTCTGTTTCTGGTGCATCTCATTTTAGGAACCAGGAGTTCATTTTGTCCATCTGTTGGAGTATATTTTAACAAGTCAAATAACATCACTTTTTGGGGTTTGTTTTTTTTTTTTGAGACGGAATCTCGCTCTGTCGCCCAGGCTGGGGTGCAGTGGCCGGATCTCAGCTCACTGCAAGCTCCACCTCCTGGGTTTACGCCATTCTCCTGCCTCAGCCTCCCGAGTAGCTGGGACTACAGGCGCCCGCCACCTTGCCTAGCTATTTTTTTTGTATTTTTTAGTAGAGACGGGGTTTCACCGTATTAGCCAGGATGGTCTCAATCTCCTGACCTCATGATCCGCCCGTCTCGGCCTCCCAGAGTGCTGGGATTACAGGCTTGAGCCACCGCGCCCGGCCGTAACATCACTTTTTGATTTGACTAATTTTGATTTAAAGACATGAGGTACTGGCTACAAACTTCATAGGGACCCCCAGATGATCTCATGATAAATGACACCAGACGATATGTTTTCATTTACATAACTTTACAGACAACTTAAAATGACAAATAAAGACACGTGTTTATTATGTAGAATGATGGGAATGATCACCACAATAACTGTAGTGGGTTGAATACTGTTCCCCAAAATTCATGTTCACCCAAACCTCAGCATGTAAACTTATTTGGAAATAGGGTCTTTACAGATGTAATCATTTGGGGGGCCTTGTGAGTAAATCATCCCGGATTTAGGGTAGGCCCTAAGTCCAATGACTGGCTGTCCTTCTAAGAAGAGAAAGGGAGACACAGCAGAAAACCCTGTGAAGATGGAAGTAGAAACTGGAGTGGTGCTGCCACAAGTCAAGGAATAGCAGGAGCCCCCAGAAGCTGGAAGAGTCCAAGAATTCTCCCTGAGAGCCTTCAGAGGAAACATGGACTTTCAGATAATTTGGTTTCATACTTGTGACCTTCAGAAATGTGAGACAATGAAGTTCTACTGTTCTAAGCCCCTAAGTTCATGGTAATCTGTTACAGCATCCCTAGGAACCTAATACAGACAAATAAAGGCTATACTTATTATGTGGCACGATGGAGATGGCCACCAGAATAGCAAAAGGCCATGGCTCTTCTCCTTCCATTGTATACACAGAAAAGAACAACCCCCTTCAAAAGCAAAAGCAAAAGCAAAGGCTGGGCACGATGGCTTATGCCTGAAATCCCAACACTTTGGGAGGCCGAGGTGGGCAGATCACTTAAGGTCAGGAGTTCAAGGCCAGCCTGGACAACATCGCAAAACCCCATCTCTACCAAAAATACAAAAAGAATTAGCCAGGTGTTGTGACTCACACCTGTAATCCCAGCTACTCAGGAGGCTGATGCAGGAGAATCGCCTGAACCCAGGAAATGGGAAACAGAGGTTGTGGTGAGCTGAGATGGCAGCACTGCACTCCCGCCTGGGCAACAGAGTGATATGTCTCAAAAAAAAAAACAAGGACTATTCAATTGTAACAGAAAGATTCAAGGGCAGATTTGCAGAGTGACCTTATCAAGTCTACATACTGAGAAAAGCTGGTAGAAAAGAGGAGGAACCCATTCTAAGGAACCTCTACCTTTCAGTTCCTCCAGTCTTGAGCTCCAGGGTTAGATGTTCCCTCAACGGCAAACCTCTGCTCTTGATACTGTCATGGGACCACCACCAGCCACCAAGCATCAATCAGCCCATCTTTCCATAATGTCAAGTCTAGGGTTTGTCTAATGTTTGCCTACCTGGAGATGTTGCCCCAACCACCACCACCAGCAAAAACAACCGGCACCCATCTTATACAGATAATTTCTTACCGAAGGAGTTCTAGAAATGCACGGCCCACCAAAACTCAGGGTAGGTCATGCATTTCTAGAGGAAGAAATGGCGATATGGAGAGAAAGCTTGTCCTAACCCACTTCTACCAAAGCAGGATTAAAGTCAATTTGAAAAAAAACACCCGTTTCTCCTTTTATATAAAAACCAAATGCAGAAACTATAAAAAGAAATCTAATAAGCTTGACTCTACACAAATACCAAAAGGCACTGTAAACAAAATTAAAGGTAACTGACAAACTGAGGAAGTATTTGCAACGTATATGGCAAGCTAAGTTTTCAAGCATCAAAAGTTCTTACAAGGGCCGGGCGCGGTGGCTCAAGCCTGTAATCCCAGCACTTTGGGAGGCTGAGACGGGCGGATCACGAGGTCAGGAGATCGAGACCATCCTGGTTAATACGGTGAAACCCCGTCTCTACTAAAAAGTACAAAAAACTAGCCGGGCGAGGTGGCGGCGCCTGTAGTCCCAGCTACTCGGGAGGCTGAGGCAGGAGAATGGCGTGAACCCGGGAGGCAGAGCTTGCAGTGAGCTGAGATCTGGCCACTGCACTCCAGCCTGGGCGACAGAGCGAGACTCCGTCTCAAAAAAATAAAAACAAAAAAACAAAAGTTCTTACAAAACCAATTTTTACAAAGATGAATGCCAAGTTTTAAAATGAACAAAAGACAGGAAAACTCAAATCACACAATAAGGACAAATGGCACGAAAAATATGGGAAAAAGTCTATTCTTCCTACTAACAAGGAAGTGAATACAATCAAAGATGCCAATTTTTGACAATAAAATGGGCAAAAAAAAAACTGTAAGAAAAAAGAGAATTTCCAATGCGGGCCAAGGATTGGAACGTTTGCTGGAAGGCCGTTTCCCTCTACCTTTAGAAAGCCTCAAAGTGGCCGGGCGCGGTGGCTCAAGCCTGTAATCCCAGCACTTTGGGAGGCCGAGATGGGCGGATCACGAGGTCAGGAGATCGAGACCATCCTGGCTAACACGGTGAAACCTTGTCTCTACTAAAAATACAAAAAACTAGCCGGGCGAGGTGGCGGCGCCTGTAGTCCCAGCTACTCGGGAGCCTGAGGCAGGAGAATGGCGTAAACCCGGGAGGCGGAGCTTGCAGTGAGCTGAGATCCGGCCACTACACTCCAGCCCGGGCGAAGCCAGACCCTGCAACCTCACATGTAGGAATTTATCCTAAGGAAACAGTCAGGGGTGACGTCAAAGATTCATCTGCAAGGATATTCAACATGGCTTTGATACAGGAAAAAAAGTAAATAAATAAAAGGAAACAATGTAAGTCTTCCTAAATGATGCCAAATTCCTATGCTGTCATTAAAAAGCACCTACAACTCCATCATCTAGGTGATTTTGACTTTTGCTTTGGACATTTTGCCTGGACATTTCTAAATTCTCTATGCCAAATAATGCATTGTTTTGTCATCAGATTTTGTTTTACAAAAACAAACCAAAACAAAAAAACCGTCTTTATGACACGGGGTTAATAGGGAAACTGTGCTTCCCAGGCATTGACCAGGCGTCTACACCTGCTGCCTAGCAGCCTACCAGTAGGCGTCTACACCCGCCTACTGACTCAAGCCACCTAAGGGTGGCCGAGCCTTAAGAGGGCGCCAGAGCGCCAGAACACGTGAAGCACGACAAGCTCCCTCGCTCCCGGTGCGGCCACGGGGGCAGGCAGGGCGCCGAACAGGGACGGCAGGAGGCTTGTTTACAGACGTCTACACAAGCAACTCACTTCCCCGAACCGAAGAAAAACGCGAGGCCACACTGACCTCCAGGCCAAACACGCCCCTCCCGGCCGCGGCGTCCGCTTCCCGAGTGCGCATGCGCGCGCCCAGCACCCTCAGGCCTGCGCGTCCCAGCAGGCCTCGCGCACGGGTTTCCATGGCGACGGGCCGCCACTGCGGCCTTGCTGCAGTCGCGGGAACCGCGCGGAACAGGTAATGGCCCAACTGCCGCCATCGTCCGCCGCAGCCGGTTGCCCTGTTACTGCCCCAACGCTGGTCCCGTCCGGACGCGCCTGCTACGCTCTTTCTGGGCTTCCGGTATCGCCGGTCACTGCGTCCTCGCCCCTGCCTGCCTCGCTGGCGCCTGGCCGTTTCCTCCTCGCAGCGCAGTCTGGCAAGGAACAGCTACTCCGGCTCGGCAGTGGCCAGGCGCCCCGGCGACACACGTACTCTCAGGCCCGCTGGGCAGGGGGGACGCCTGGGCCGAGGTGACCGAGCGCGCCCGGGGCCGCGCCTGGGTCCGGCAAGGGGGCAGAGGCCGATCTCACCGCCGCCCCACCGAGGGACTTTCGGGTTTTTCTATCTGAATCTTCTATCTGACCTCCGATTTTGCCTTTGCTTACTTGCTGTTTTGCTTGGGATTCGTTTTTCTTTAAAACCTTAGCGCTGGCATCTCCCTATGTCGCAGGAATCTAAATCTTTTGAAATGTCTTCTCTGTGTATGTCCCCCACTCGCCCAGTCTCGGGACTCTTTATCCACACCCTTTCCTCAGCGTGTTAACATCTCGTTGCCACACTGAAGCCAACGGTTAAGTTTTTTAAGAGCCCAGTTTTTTTCACGGCTGAATGTGAGCTTGAGCCTTTTTGCGTCTCCTCTCAATCCCTAGATGAACTCATCCAGTCTCCTGTACTCAGAGCCTATCTGAATGCCAGTGAGCCCCAAGTGTGCATTCCCAGCCCTCGCCCCTCCCCTGAACACCAGACCCCTGCATTCAGCTGCCTGCCACATCCCTACTTGGATGTCTACAGCATCTCAAACGCAGCTTATCCAAAATAGCTCTCAATAATTCCCCAAGCCAAGCCTGTCCTCCCACAATCTTAATCCGCCATAGTTGCTGGGAATTCCATTCTCCAGTTGCCCGAGCCTTGTATCCTGCTTGAGTCCTGTTTTTCTCTTCCTCACCTTCAGTCTGTCAGCACTGCCTTCAAAATGCACCCGAATAGATTCACAATTCTACCATTTCTCTCAACCCCCACTGTCACCACCTTGGTCCAGGCCCCCATCATCTGGTGCCTGGATTACTTTACTTGCTTCCTAATTGGTTTCCCTGAGTCTGCCCCTCCCCCACTTGAGCATGACAGGCTTAATGCTATTTCCCGTTCTCTGTTATTTCGTATGAATAAGTTTTTTAAAGGATTATGTAAATTACAATTTCCTTATATAAATTACAATTTCCGTAGATAAAAGTGCAATATTTTCAGTATGTATTTTGCACATTGCAACTTTTAAACCGGGTAAACAAGTCTACATAAGCATCATGCTAACAAGCTGACAGTGTAAAGATGCGCCTTAGCTGTGTTAGGTATATATATGACAGTGCCCCTGGAACAGAACTATGGCCAGAGCTTTACAAGGGACTGTCCTGAAGAACAAAAGAATCCAGAGCCGGGCCGGGCGCGGTAATCAAGCCTGTAATCCCAGCACTTTGGGAGGCCGAGACGGGCGGATCATGAGGTCAGGAGATCGAGACCATCCTGGCTAATACGGTGAAACCCCGTCTCTACTAAAAAAATACAAAAAACTAGCCGGGCGAAGTGGCGGGTGCCTGTAGTCCCAGCTACTCGGGAGGCTGAGGCAGGAGAATGGCGTGAACCCGAGAGGAGGAGCTTGCAGTGAGCTGAGATCCGGCCACTGCACTCCAGCCTGGGTGACAGAGCAAGACTCCGTCTCAAAAAAAAAAAAGAATCCAGAGGCTTCTTCCCAGTGCAAAGACAGGAATCATGTAGGAGTTTAAGCTCTTCCTTTTTTTATTTTTTAGAGAAGCACCAAAAGAGGCAAACTGAGATGCAGACAAATGATCATCCGTATGCTGATCATTTTGATAGTAAGTACCTGGGTGCTGATACGGCGATCAATGTGACAGGTCCCTGCCCTCAAGGAGCTAAGGTCCCTACATACCTGTACCCTTGCCAATCTCTCTCTCTTTTTTTTTTCATTTTTTTGAGATATTGTCTCACTCTGTTGGCCAGGCTGGAGTGCAGTGGCATCATCTTGGCTCACTGCAACCTCCATCTCCCGGGCTCAAGCAATTCTCCTGCCTCGGCCTCCTGAGTAGCTGGGATTACAGGTGTGCACCACCACACCCAGCTAATTTTTGTATTTTTAGTAGAGATGGGGTTTCACCATGTTGGCCAAGCTGGTCTCAAACTCCTGACCTCAGGTAATCCGCCCGCCTCGGCCTTCCAAAGTGCTGGGATTACAGGCATGAGCCACCACGCCTGGCCCTACCCTTGCCACTCTCTTAAACCCTATCTTTTCTCTTTTGCCGTCAGGTAAAACCCCAATTAACCAAAGTAACAGAGTAGGATTGCCACAGTTAGCTGAGGGTCTATAGGAGATTGCATTTCATAAATGACCACTTTACTCAGATTTGATCTCCCACCACACCCTTGTGCTGTCACTTCATAGAGAAACTTGAAGCTGTCACATGGGAATCCCCTCATTCTTCAGCTGCCAAAACTGCAAGCCTTACTTATATCTGTTCCTACCTTCCTTCCTCCTCCTAACCAAAGCCACTCCCTCTCTGTGCTTTGGATCCCATCCCTGTCCACTCGCCAAAAACTCTACACTGTCAGGTATGCATTCCCTCTCCCGTATGATCACCTATTCCATCTCAGCTGGCTCTGCCATGGTTTTGAAGCATGTTGAAGTTTCCCATCACAAAAGAGAAAAAAAAGAATCTCCTATGACCCCACATTCCCCTTCAGTTTCCAGTTATTGTCCAATCCCTTATCCCTTTCGACAGGCAAACTTTAAAGAACTGCCTTATTCGATACCTCTGTTATTTGTCTCTCACTCCTCAGCCAGCCTGGCTTCCCCTTCATCTCTGCTAAAACAAAAACCGGGAATGAGACATTTCCAGGCCTCGTCTTGCTCAGTCTCTCAGCAGCATTTGAAACTGCTGCCCCCATTTCACTCTACAAACACCGTCTGCCCTTGGCTTCTGTGACCACCCCTGTCTCTCCTGCTTTTCCTGCTGCCATTCTGGCTCACCCTCCTCTCCCAGGCTCCTTAATATTGGAGATCCTCAAAGCTCGGCCTCTGTTCCCATTTTGTTCTCCATTGCGCCCCCTCATCTAGCACCGGGCACAGATTCACACGCACAGCTTTAAGTTCCAGCTGTGTGCTCTTGACTCCCACCTTTCTCCAACTTGACCTTTTCTCAGCTAGACTCGTACATTCAGCTAGCTGCGTGACAGTGTTTCTTAATATCACTCAGTCTCCTCCAATTCAACATGCACAAGACCAAACAACCCCACTTCCCAACCCCAACTGGGACCTCTTCCATTGTACCCAGGATTCCTCCTTGACCGTTACCGCACCCCAACACCCAGTGAATCCTTAAGCCCAGGTGAGGTTGTCTCCTGGGCATCTTTCACATCTCTTCTTTGTCGTGGATGCCTAAGTCCAAACTACCACCTTCATTCAGCCTGCTGCAGTCCGGTACCAGCTGGTCTCCCCACATCTCTGGCTTTTCTCGATTCTTCACCACCCTGCAGCCAGAGTAACCTCTTCAGAAGGCAGAGCTGATTATGCCATCCCTCCCCACCTCCCTCTTTTGCTTACCGCCAGCTTCCCATTGCCCTTGGATTAATGATCCACATCATAGGCACGCCTTCCCAAGGACCTGCAGCTGCTCACCCCCGCCTGCTTCTCAAGACTCATCTGAAACGGCTGGCCCTCCTCACTGGGCTTCAGCCACATGGGCCTCCTCCACCCACCAGGCCTTGGCATTCTTTTCTCTCTGTCTGCATTGTTTTTCCTTCCTCCCTCTCATCCTCTCTTGCCTAGTTAGTTCCCACTGACCCTTCCTATCTCAACTCAGACATCACTTCTACAGGGATAACTTCCCCGATCACTGTCAGGATCAGTTTCACCTTCACAGAGTTGTATCTCCTTCCTTGAAGACACTCGGGACAGTCACTATTATGATTAGTTCATTACAGAAAGTCCCACAAAAACAGAAACATTTGCTGTTTGTGTTCATCACTGTATCTCCACACCCCACATAGTGCCTGACACATAGTAAGCACGCAAATGGGTGCTGAAAGAATGAATGAAATGAACATTCTAATGTGTAAGAGATACTAAGTGCCGTGTGTTTTAGAACAATTCTATTAAAATAGAATGAAACTCCTAGTAAAAAATAATCAGGCAAACACTGAAAATTAAAAAGAATGTTGTGGCAGGGTAGCTAAAAACGGGTACTTGGGTAAGATTTGTAGCCCTTTACTCAGTGTGGTACATTGCATTTGCCACCACTTGGTGGAAGTAGAGAGGCATGGGTTCTTACCCTGAAGGTGACTGGGATGTCAGTCTGCTAGTGAATTCAAACATTTGTTCTAAAATACATAAAGTTGTTAAATTACCAAAACCTGCATAGCATAGCTAGTCTGTAACCATCCAGACTTTGAACGTGGCACATTTTCATGTTATCAAATAAACTTGAAATTTCTGATATATATAGGTATATTTCATTTATGAAATTTAGTGCTAGATGTCACTGAGAAATCAGCCAATTTCTTGCCTGAGACATTTGAGGCCTACTAGCTAGTTGTATTGGCAGAACTGGGAACATACCTTTTTTCTTCCAGAGTATACTGCCTCTCAATCAGTGTTTTGTTCGTCTGTTTTTTCGGTTTTGAAACTGGGTCCCACTCTGTCCCTCAGGCTGGAATGTGGTTGTGCGATCACAGCTCACTCCATCACTGCAGCCTTGACTTCCTGGGCTCAGCCTCCTGAGTAGCTGAGACTGTCACACTGGCTAATTCTTTTTTTAGGAATGGGGTCTCACCATGTTGCCCAGGCTGGTCTCAAACTCCTGGGCCCAAGTGATCCACCTGCCTCAGCCTCCCAAAGTGCTGGGATTACAGGTGTGAGCCACCACACCAGGCCAATCAGTGTTAAGAATCATAACCTCCCTTTGTCAATGTTTAGAGTGACTTGCATAATTTCTGAAGCAAAAAATTGGGACACATAATCGTAAAAGATAAAGTGTTTGAAATAATGTTCTTGAAAACCATAAGATATTGATTATCCTAGCTATATAATACCACATTTATAAGCCTAGGGAAGAGCTTTTCTATTCATTTAATATTTTTGTCAAAGAGTTTAGAGTTCAGGCTTTTCATTCAGTAAGAAGACCTGAACTTGGGTCTGGCTGATGTTTTTTCTATCCAGACAGGCTGTGCTTGTGGCAGGAAGGCCACAGAAATGGTGCTGTCATCTTCACAAGTGCCCATGGTCACTAGTGAATGTCACCTGTCCCACCCTGGTGACATGAACCTTGATTACCTGTTCAAGCACGGATCTGCCAGGTTTCTCCACAGCCACCTGTTTTCCCTTGCATTCGATTCGTACTTTGGAAAGAGATACTCTGACATGGTAAATCCCATTTTGTTTTGTGTTTTTAAGACCGGGTCTCACTCTTGTCCAGGCTAGAGTGCAGTGCTGGCATGATCGCAACTCACTGCAGCCTCAACCTCCCAAGTAGCTGAGACCATGGGTGTGCGCCACCATACCCAGCTAATTTGTCTTTCTTTATAGAGATAGCATCTCCCTATGTTGCCCAGGCTGATGTATCCTCCTTATTGGTATTGATGCTCAAATTCCCCTATCTTTGACTAATGGGAGCTTCTTAAAGCTGGCTCCTGTGCCCTTTTGATACACACCAGCCTTTCTTCTCTTTGCCTGCCTCAGGCTTAGGATCATCCGTTTCTCCAAGGAACCCTGATTCATTATAGCAGAGAATGGTATTTGGTGGAGAATGGTACACAGTGTACTCATTGCTTCTGGGGTGTCATTGATTCTAGGCCCTCTCAGAGAGCAGAGTTAGGGGAAAAATACACACACACACCCCTAGACATACATATGCATATACACATACACATACATTTATAGATACATGTGCACATAGATCTGTAACTGTATATACCTCCTTGTGTGTATATGTGTGTGTGTATTTGAACCTAGCGTTTTGCATTCTAATCCAACATTTCAGGGTTCTTTCCAGCCTTTCCTCTTTCAGACAGTAAGAAATTTGAGCCCATGATTCTAAATATATTATGTCCTCAGTTAACTTGTTAGCTCTAATTAATTTCCTAATTTTGCCAGCTACCTGACGCCTCTTTGTCACTCCTTCCCCTTACAACTACTTGACTCTGCTTTCTCAGCCTTCAGCCATGCTTCCGCCACTGCCTCTACAGGAAAGCCACCTCCTTTTTGAAAAAAAATTTGCATGGAGTGCTTATGAGAGGGTCTGCTGTTTTCTCCAGCTCATTTTTCCAAAGCAAACAATCCCACCAGCTCTCTCAGGTTGGTCATCTTTTTCCTAGATATAGTCCAAGGCAAGGTAAAGCAAGCTGGTTTCTGGAACCATTAAGATATTTCCCCAAAACATTTGAACTCACCATCTTCTCTGACTTCTTGAAATTTGTAACAGTACATTTCATTTGCATGTAATAGCCTGCTTTTAGTCTCATTTTAATTTGTGATGTTTTTCAAGGTATCTGTGTTAGTTCTGTATTGCTGCTACAACAAATTACCCCAAACTCAGTGGCTTAAATTTATTTTCTTACAGCTCTGGAGGTCAGAAGTCTGAAATGAGTCTTAAGGGGCTAAAGTTAGGATGTCAGCAGGACTGATTCCTTCTAGAGGATCCAAGGGAGGATCCATTCCCTTCCCTTTTCTAACTTCTAGAAAAGCCTGTATTCTGTGGTATATGACCCCTTCTTCCATCTTGAAAGCCAGCAGCATAGCATCTTCTCCCTCTGACTCTGCTTCTCTCATAACAGAGCCTTCTCACTCTGACCCCTCCTGTGTCCTTCTCAGACAGGCCCATGTGATTACATTAGGTCCACATGGATAATCTGGGATAATTCAGGATAATCTTCCCACCTCAAGACCTGAAATTGATCACATCTGCAAAGTCCCTTTTGCCATATATAGTAACACACACAGGTTCTGGGGATTAGGACATGGACATCCTTAGGGGACCATTATTCAGACTACCACTGTACCAAAGGAAAGCCTTAAACCTTAAAAATGAGAATTTAACTGTTTTTTATGGAAGGTAATGAGCAACATGTAGACATTGATTGGAAAATGAACATATCTTGGAGAGCTTTACATACCTACACATACAGAGATATGCTTTATTTTTTATATTAGGCATTATCAGTATTATTATTCATCACAGTTATAATAACAATATGTTTTATCTAATTCTTTAATTTTTGCCATTCTGGTAGATGAAAAATGGAATCTAGTTGTTTTCATTTGCATTTCATTATGAGTAAGCTTGAACATCTTTTTATGTAACTCTTGGTTTTCTGTGTTTCTGTAATGTGCTTATTCTGTAATGTGTTCATATCTTTTGCCCATTTTACTAATGGATTATTTTAAGAGGTCTCTGTAAATTAAGGAAATTAGGTCTTTGTCATATGTGTTGAAAATCTTTTTTCCAGTTTGTAAGATGCCTTTGCACTTTATTATTTTTTTAATTATAAGGAAGTTTTTAAATTTTTATGCAGTTATTTTTATCAGTTGTTTCCTTTATGGTTCAGGGCTTTATGTTTTTCCACACTCTGTGTTTTCTTTTAATAATTTTTTAAACATTTATATTTTGAATCCATCTAACCGTCATTTTAGTGTAAGAAATGCAATAAGAATGTGCTTTTGTTTTGATTTCCGGGTAGATTCTGGCCTACCTCTCATCATTTACTGAAGCGCACTTTCTCTACCTTTATCTTACACTAGGGCTACCATATGTATTTGTTTGTGCTTCTGTTTCTGAACTCTTTATTCCAGTATATTGTTCTGTCAAAGCATTAGTATCGGGCTATTTTAGTGACTATAGCTTTATATCTCAGTGTCTGATCAAAGTAGTCCCTTCTCATCATTTTTGTTCATATTTCTTTGTATTCTTTCATATTTATTTCTCTATATGAATTTTGTATCATTTGGTCAAATTTCACAAAATTACTCAGCATTTCACTGAGAATGCATTGATCATGTAGATTAAATTAGGGAGAATTTACAGCTTTATAATGTGTCCTTTTGATATAAGAACAAAATATGTCTTTCACTTAAATATTTTATTTCAGTAGTTTTAAAGTTTCCTTCATATTATTCATAATATACTTAGATGTTTTAAATATTTGGACTGATATAGTAAGTGGGATATTTTTCATCTATTTCCTAAGTCATTTTATTTTGCATATAGAAAAGATTATTTTTAGGGCCAGGCACACCTATAATTCCAGCACTTTGGGAGGCCAAAATGGGCAGATTTCTTGAGCCCAGGAGTTTGAGACTAGGGCCTGGGCAACATGGCAAAATCCCATCTCTACAAAAAATTGGCCAGGCATAGTGGCATGTGCCTATAATCCCAGTACCTGGGAGACTGAGGTGGGAGGATCACCTGAACCCAGGAGGTTGAGGCTGCAGTGAGCTGTGATCGCGCTACTCCAGTCTGGGCGATGGAATGAGACCCTGTCTCAAAAAAAAGATTAATTTTATAGCCATGTTGTAACCCATAGTGTCAATTTAATTCTCTTGATAGTGTTTTATAAGTACATAATCATTTCATTTCCACATAATAACTTGCCTCTTCTTTTCCAATATTTAGACCTAGTACCTCCAGAACAATATTAATGAACAAAGTGACAGTAGGCCTTTCTTATCTTAATTCTTACATCAGTGTAAATTAATGTTTCACCATTAAAGTTTAAAGCTGTTTTTTTTTGTTTGAGATAGGTATTTATCACATTGGGAAAGCTTTCATTTAGAGCTTTTCAGATTGGGTTAGCAGTAATGAGAAGTTTTATCAGGAGTCATGGAATGAAAAGAGGAATTAAAGAAGCACAGAGGCATCCTGAACATTAATTTATGTGATCAATATTTATTGGACACCTAATATTCTCAGGAACTCCTCTAGGCACTGAGGATATAGCAGTAGACAAAGGAGCCAGAATGCATGCCACTGGGAAGCATACAGTTAGTGGGGAAGTATTTTACTTAGCTACAAACAGGCTAAGTAAAATAGGTGTTATAAAATAAATTTTTAAAAGTAAAATAGATAATATGTGCTAAAGAGAAAAAATGAAATGGGGAAGGCAATAGGAAATGAGAGTGGATAAGAAAAGAAGGAAAATTTGCATGTTAAGTAAGTTTTTTTTTCCCAAGAGGCAGGACTGGTTAAGAATATAATTGCCAGCAAGGCTCTGTAGCCCAGATCACGCCTATAATCCCAGCACTTTGGAAGGCCAAGGCAGGTGGATCACTTGAGTCTTGGAGTTCTAGACCAGCCTGGGCAACATAATAAAATCCCATATCTGCAAAAATACAAAAATTAGTTGGGCATGGTGACACATGCCTGTAGTCCCAGCTACTTGGAAAGCTGAGGCAGGAGGATCACCTGAGCCCAGGAGGTTGAGACTGCAGTGAGCTGAGCTGAGATAACACCACTGCACTCCAGCCTGGATGACAGAGACTCCATCTCAAAAAACATGTATATAATTACCTACCCATAGAATAATTTCGGCCAGAAACACAGATGTAATCATTTGAATTAAATTATCCTTATGAATTAATTATAACTTCACTATGGAATTTTTTTCATTATATGCGTGTAACAAAATAAATATTTACTTTTAAGAATTAGGATTTTCTAGTTGTATTATTAACCAAGAATCTGATAATTCATGAAAGTGTGGAACCAGAATACATTTTAGTATATAATACTAAATCAGTCACTATCTGTGCTTCTAAAGTACAATCCAGTGCTTACAAGTAGTTACCAAGAGGGTCGTCTTTTTGTTATTTTTATTGTTGACAGGAAAGAAACACATAATTCAAAAACTTTAATTATTTACGTTCAACTCTGTACTGGAAAGAAAGAGCAGGCAGGTGAGCCACAAGATCTTTTGTTCTGTCAAAAACTTGAAAAGGCACTGCTGTGTATGGCTCCTTCAAATCTTATTTCAACATCACTGTTTAATAATCACATCCAAGAACTTCCCAATCAATTGCCAACAGGTGATTCACTTTCACAGAGAAAAAGCCGCCTATGGCTGGGTACAGTGGCTCACACCTGTAATCCCAGCACTTTGGGAGGCCAAAGTGGGTGGATCACTTGAGGTCAGGAGTTTGAGACCAACCTGGCCAACATGGTGAAACCCTGTCTGTACCAAAAATACAAAAAAATTAGCCAGGCATGGTGGCAGGCGCCTGTAATCCCAGCTACTCAGGAGGCTGAGGCAGGAGAATTGCTTGAACCTGGGAGGCGGAGGTTGCAGTAAGCTGAGACCACACCAATCTATAACACAAGGGAATATATATATATATATATATAAACTGCTTCAAAATCTTATAAATGTTTATTTGTGAGATTGTAACATTTTCCTTTTGTAATATCATTTTAGGTTTTTTAAAATATATTCTTTCTTTAAAAAGAGACCAAAACCTGTCAAAAAATACTACCGTGGAAAGCTCATAAATACTACAGTGTGAAGAACCCTGTGCTTATCTTCAGTTAATCGTCAGACATCTTAGGGAAGTTTGATAAAGAACACCAGGTATGCAGTAATCCCTTTCAAACATTTTAGCGTGTTTTATTTTCCATCTGCCTTGTTGCAAAAGCAGGAGTAAAGACACCTGACTGTTGTATTCAGAATGATTCAGACGTATACCTTGATCTTCAGCATTCTTATTTCTAATTCACTAATTAGATAAGCACAATATAGAAGTTCACTGTTCTTATAAGCAGCCATCCCTTTTACCATAGTGCATTCCAGGAAAATGTAACCTCAACCAGATCAGATTTTTTTCCATTAGAACAGAGTTTATAATTACTCATTGTGTTCCTGAGTCATAACAGCAAAGAAACAACTATAAACTCTACAATGATAGAGACATAATAAAATTATGCTTCATGTGCAGTAAAATAGGCACCATTATACTGTAAACTGTTCAAAATATAAATGCTGCCAAACTAAATCTGAACTATACTGTAAATTTGATACAACAAAAACTAGTATAACTATAGTAGGTATTATATAATTACTAACTTTGCCTATTTTAAGATCCTTTAAGGCAAAAGCTTACCTTCTTCATCACCCCAGTCCTTGGAAGACACTAAATAGATGTTCTTTGACTGAACATATTAATTAATTAAGAACATCAGTGGCCAGACATGGTGGGTCATGTCTGTAATCCTAGCACTTTGAGAGGCTGATGTGGGAAGATTGCTTGAGCCCAGGAGTTCAAGACCAGCCTGGGCAACATAGTTGCCCAGCTACTTGCCAGGCCAAGGTGGGAGGACTGCTTGAGCCTGGGAGGTCAAGCCTGCAGTAAGCTGTGATCACCGCATTGCACTTCAGTCTAGGCAACAGAGCAAGACCCTGTCTCAAAAGAAAGAACATTAGGTGGTTGGTTTAAGGCCTGGATTTTTCAAAAATGCACCACATAATCAGAGATTTGTATGTGGAAACTACATTTTGTACTGATAACAGTAGAGAAATGTAGTGTATGTATATTAATATGAAGATTTCTGAAACAGTTTAATCAACTTAAAAGTTATAGGCCTGATACTAGTCATCAGTCAGTTTTTAACAGGTCAGTGAGAAAACTGATATTTAACAGACTGAATATATGATCCCACTTAACCTGTATTTAGGGCACATTCATTGCCGACTATTGTAACAGCCAAGAATCAAACTTGGTTTTACTTTTGTTTACACTGCTGATCGTATCTCTCAGACTCCATTTCATGAAAAAGAATAGAACTCACGCAGTGCCAGGTGAACCCAAACATACCTGTATTCAGGTCATATAGGTAGAAACTTTAGGATGATTGTGGAATCCTGGGAATTCCAGAATGCTAGAAATATCCAGTCTCTTTGGCAGGTATAGTTGATGTACAAGCAATTCTTTTGGAAATTTACCTGCCCTGCCAGGGCAGGAGAATTGCTTGAGCCCAGAAGTTCAAGACGAGCCTGGGCAATGTGGCGAAACTCCATCTCTACAAAAAATACAAAACTTAGCCGGCATGGTAGTGAACACCTGTAGTCCCAGCTACTCCAGAGGCTGAGGTGGGAGGATCACCTGAGCCCAAGAAGTTGAGGCTGCCGTGAGCTGTGATCACACCACTACACTGCACTCTAGCCTGGGCAACAGAGTGAAACCCTGCCTCAAAAAGAAAAAAACAAAAAAAAAACATATCTCTCTCTATATATTTTATATATATGATGTGTATATATACACATATATATACATGTGTATAAACACATGTATATATGTGTGTATCTGTATATATATGAAATACTTAGGCATAAATCTAACAAAAGTTGTAAAAAAGTTCTGCACTGAAAACAGCAGAGCACTGCTGAAATTAAAGAAGACCTAATAAATGGGAGGCATACCTTATTCCTGGGTTAGAATTCTCCATTTTGACAAAGTGTCAGTTCTCCCTAAATTTATATGCAGATTCAACACAGTTCCAGTCTCAATCCTATTAGGCTTTTTTTTTTTTTAAGGAATTGACAAACTAACTCTAAAATTTACAGAGAAATTCAAAGGAACTAAAATAGCCAAAACAACTTTGGAATGAAACAACAGAGATGGCAAACTAATACTACCTGATTTCAAGATTAGTTATAAAGCTACAGTAACCCTGTAATGGCAGCACTTTGGGAGGCCAAGGTGGGCAGATTGCTTGAGCTGAGGAGTTCAGGACTAGCCTGGGCAACATGGTGAAACTCTGTCTCTGCAGAAAAAAAAAAAAAAAAAAAAAAAGCTGGGTGTGGTGGCACGAACCTGTAGTCCAGCTATGCGGGAGGCTGAGTTGGAGGTTGCAGTGAGCCAAGATCATGCCACTGCACTCCAGCCTGGGCAACAGAAGGAGACCCTGTCTCAAAAAAAAAAAAAAAAAAAAGCTACAGTAACCAAAACAATGTGATATTGGTATAAAGATAGAGAAACAGGTCACTAGAACAGTATAGAGAGCACAGAAATAGATCAGCATATGGATATCTGGGTTTTTACAGAGATGCAAAGGCAATTGAGTGGGAAAAGGAGAGTCTTTCCAACAAAGGGTGCTGGAGCAATTGGATGTCCAAATACCAAAAAATGAATTTTGACCCATAATGAGTAACTCAAAATGGATTATAGACTTAAAGTAAAACTTCTAGAAGAAAGCAAGGAGGATATCTTTGTGACCTCAGGTCATGCAAAAATTTCTTAGATATAACACCAAAAGGATCATACTTTTTTTTTTGAAACAGTTTCTCCTTACCCAGGCTTGAGTGCAATGGCGCGATCCCAGCTCACTGCAATGTCCACCTCCCGGGTTCAAGCAATTCTCCTGCCTCAGCCTCCCGAGTAGCTGGGATTACAGGCACCCGCCACCACGCCCAGCTAATTTTCGTATTTTTTAGTAGAGACGGAGTTTCACATGTTGGCCAGGCTGGTCACGAACTCCTGACCTCAGGCAATCCGCCCGCCTTCGCCTCCCAAAGTGCTGGGATTACAGGCATGAGCCACCGCGCCCAGCCAGGATCATTCTTAAAAGAACAAATTGATAATTGGACTTCACCAAAATTTTTAAAAAACATTTTTAAGAGAATGACAAATCACAGATGAGGAGAAAATGTTTGCAAAGCATGTATCTGATAAAGGACTTATATCCAGAATATTCACAGCAGTTTTACTTTTAATAGCCCAAAACTGGAAATAGCTGAAATGTCTGTGAACAGATGAATAAACAAATTATGGTTTATACATGCAATTGGAAACTACTCAGCAACTTAAAAAAAACAAACGAACTATCGATATTGATGCACGTAGTAACATGGATGAATCTCATAATAATGCTAAGTGAAAGAAGCAAACCAAATAAAAATACATACTGGATTATTCCATTTATATAAAACTCTACCAAATGCAAAATAGTTGATAGTGACAAAAAAACAGTGTTTGCCTGGGTTGGGAGTGAGGCGCAGGGAAGGATGAGAGGAATTACAATGGGATGCTGGGAGACTTTGGGAGATTATGTGGATGTGTTCACTGTCTTGATTGTGGTGATAGTTTCATGGAGATACACATTTCTAATCTTATCAAATGGTACTCTTATTAATTTTCTTTGAAACCTCAGTAAAAGAGCGTTAAAAATAAAGAATTGTAGGCCGGGCACGGTGGCCTGTAATCCCAGCACTTTGGGAGGCCAAGGCGGGCGGATCACGAGGTCAGGAGATCAAGACCATCCTGGCTAACACAGTGAAACCCAGTCTCTACTAAAAATACCAAAAAAAAAATCAGGCGTGGTGGCAGGCGCCTGTAGTCCCAGCTACTTGGGAAGCTGAGGCAGGAGAATCGCTTGAACCGCGAGGTGGAGGTTGCAGTGAACCAAGATCGTGCCACTGCACTCCAGCCTGGGCGACAGAGCGAGACTCCATCTCAAAAAAAAAATTGTATCCCAAAGGCTTAGGAATCAGTTGTGTTAAATATATATGCTCAGTAAGCCAAATAAATTGACATATTTGATACATTTTTTTAATCTTCATTTTAAAATGTTAGTGAATCAGGTACAAAATTCATATACATGTTGATATCAGCTGATCCCAGTTTTTCTTATGACCTCTTTTTGTCAAAGACTATGCCATTAATATTAAGAACAATTGTCTATTTGTTGTAGCAAAAAGCATACTGAGTTTACCTAAAAGCTGATTTTAGTGACACTGACATTAATAAGCAGTGATAAACACTGGGTCAGTCAATCCATACACTGATCTTACCAAGTTGTAAATACATTCTTTCAAAAGAATATAGCATCTAAATATACTCTACAAAGCATTTATGACAACTTTTAAATTTAGTAAGCTCCCAAAAATTCAGTGTCTTAGGATATGGATTGAAATTATGATTTTTGATTTTCAGATATTTTTACCTGTTTAATTATAAGACAAATCGGTGAACATAGCAATTAATCTGAAGTTGCTTATAGCTTTTTTTACATGAGACAGATTAGGTTATAGTAGTGATCAGTAGTAGAATTGATCGCTACCTCATACTGTGTGTTTTAGATATTTGACAAAAGCAAGTTGACAGTACATCCACTAGAAAATTCATGGCACGCCGGGCGTGCTGGCTCACGCCTGTAATCCCAGCACTTTGGGAGGCCGAGGCAGGCGGAGCACAAGGTCAAGAAATCAAGACCATCCTGGCCAACATGGTAAAACCCTGTCTCTATTAAAAATACAAAAATTAGCTGGGTGTGGTGGTGCGCACCTGTAGTCCCAGCTACTTGGGAGGCTGAGGCTGGAGAATCGCTTGAACCGGGGAGGCAGAGGTTGCAGTGAACCAAGATCATGCCACTGCACTTCAGCCTGTCGTCAGAGCGAGATTCCATCTCAAAAAATAAAATAAAATAAATAAAATTGGTAGCAGTCATTTTCTACTCATCCATTCCACCAAAATAATAATAATAATAATTGTCTTTGTAGTAAGACTACCCTTTACCCATCCTGAGGAAACTAGATCCCTAACGTTAGGCTAGGCAAAGTATGGAGCAGGAAAGATTGTGGATAATTTTGCTAATAAGGGATCTTCTCACTAAAATATTGAAAGATTTTTGATTTTTCAAGCATTTTTAAGAAGCTACAATTACTCCTAGCTATAAAGATCCTGCAAAATACAGAAGTCCGCTGGAGCCACTAGATAATGGAACGACTCAGCATCCACAGAGGCTTATGACTCGCACATCCATGTGGGGAGGGCGGTAACGCCTTCCAATCCACCACCTTTCTCACAGCTAAGTCTAGAAAGCCCTCATTAGGGGACATTTTAACCTGGTAGAATTGTTTTAGGAGCGAAGTTGTTTATAGTCTTGTTTATTCTTATGTGACTCTACAGGATTTCCATTTAAGAAAATTTTTTTTTTTTTTACCTGTTACATCAATTTTTATTACACTAAGAGACTAAGATGGCTAGTCTTCTGCTTTATCAACGTGGGATAATCGAAGCTCACTTTAGTCTTCTGTGAGAGGCTTGCATTTTTTAAAGAAAAAAGGACAAGTCAGGAGAGGGACGATTGCAAATGTCGTTTTTCAGGGATTTTCATTGGTTTACAGAAATAACAGTGATTGGCGATTAGATTGCTGTTTGAACCACAGGGTATGAGCTGTGGTGTCCAGCATATGGCATTGTTAGGTTAATTTATAGCTATTGGTGGTGTCAGTCAGAGCCCAGGGAGCAAGCAGCTTAGAAATGATTACTTAACTCAGCTGGGGGGATAGGGGGACATGACTGCTGTCTCATTCCAATGCCTCTTTGGGCCTGATCATTTAAAGGGGGTTGCGGCCAGGCGCGGTGGCTCAAGCCTGTAATCCCAGCACTTTGGGAGGCCGAGACGGGTGGATCACGAGGTCAGGAGATCGAGACCATCCTGGCTAACACGGTGAAACCCCGTCTCTACTAAAAAAATACAAAAAACTAGCCGGGCGAGGTGGTGGGTGCCTGTAGTCCCAGCTACTCGGGAGGCTGAGGCAGGAGAATGGCGTGAACCCGGAAGGCGGAGCTTGCAGTGAGCTGAGATCCGGCCACTGCACTCCAGCCTGGGCGACAGAGCGAGACTCCGTCTCAAAAAAAATAAAAATAAAAAAAAATAAAAAATAAATAAAAAAATAAAGGGGGTTGCATTCCTCAGATAAGCTTCTTTTCTTTCTCAACCCTAGGGGATTGGTGGTGTCACTCACATTTTACAGATGGACAAGAGCACTTAAGTGACAGGCAGACCCAAGTTCAAACCCAAACCTGTCTGCCTTCAAATTGTCCATCACCTTCTACTCCGTCACACTCCCTCCCACGATTGTAGCTTGACAATTTGTGAATGTAACATGAAAAACACTCTTGAATTAAGCCTTTATTCAAAATTGCCTGCATAAGACCACTTGTTGAAGGAGTGTTCTAAAGGAAGAAGGAGGGAATTTTTATAGAGCTTTAGCAGGAGAAGTCAGCTGAAGTCTAGCTTGAGTCAGAAACAACTGGCCAAAAACAAAAAACAAAAAAAACAAATTATTCTTGCCAATTAGCAACCATTGTTTGAGCCATTTGGATTTATCAAGATAGGTGAGGAAGAAATTAGGGACTGAGGTCATGAGCCAGAGGGCAGGGAGGAACAGCTCCTGGGGACAAGGAGAGGCAAGGCTGTGAGAGCTACACTGGAGCATTTGTAGTCCTTCAGGATCCCCTACACCAACATCTGGGATTCTTCTTTTTTTTTTTGAGACAGAGTTGGCCCTGTCACCCAGGCTGGAATGCAGTGGCGCAATCACAGCTCACTGCAACCTCTGCCTCCTGGACTCAAGCAATCCAACCTCAGCCTCCCAAGTAGCTGGGACTACAGGTGTGCACCACCATGCCCCGCTAATTTTTGTATTTGTTTTGTAGAGACAGGGTTTCGCCATGTTGCCCAGGCTGGTCCTGAACTTCTGAGTTCAAGCTATCCACCTGCCTCAGCCTCCCAAAGTGCTGGTATTTCAGATGTGAGCCACAATACCAGGCCTGGATTCTTCTTAATCTAGATGTAAAGGTTCACAAAGAAGGATCTGCTTCTGCCCACCACTACACAGCAGAATGTGTCTGGAAAGAGAAATTCTTTGCCTTAGGATTGTGTAATGCTCCCACCAATGTGTTATTGCAGTCATGATGCTTAATGAAAAAAGCACTGCCCCTGGAGCTGGAAAACATGGACAGTCTCTGAACTTTTAACCTGTCTGAACCTATTCCCTCTAGGTGGCTGAAATGAGGTGATGTGAAGCAGTTTGTACAAAGTAAGAGCACTAGTTAGATATTAAGTATAATGCTAATATTAATTATTACTAAGATCATTTGGACTAAGATTTCTTGTAGTGGGGAGATTGTGGACTGCCTGATATATTTCATCAGAAGAGAAGGCTAGAGTTAAGCAGATGCATCAGAAAGCCAAAACACTTCAGAAAAAACCCTCTCAGTAGAGAAAGTGATATTAGATTCCTGTTGCAAAAGATCTAATGCCAGCTAAATTCTCTTTTGCTTTCTTGATAAAACAAGAGAATTGAGAATTAAATGGAAAGGTAATCCTTTTAAAGACCTCAGAAGATGGATCTGTTTGTTTCAATCTGCTTTTGAGGTAGGCTGCTATAAAAGAGATGCTTGTGGTGTTACTGTGCCTTAGTGTAGTAGCATAATAAAGAAATGCAGAACCATCTGCTTTGTAACTAATGTTAATTTTATTAAGGGTATAAATTTGGGGTCTTTCTTGTATTTGACTTTCTATTCCTTCCATTTTAAATTCTCACTTTAGACAACGAAAAGGGCTTATTGAAAGTATTCAAAGTTTGTGTCCATGGCTGAGCATGGTGGCTCATGCCTGTATCCCACCACTTTGTGAGACTGAGGTGGGAGGATCACTTGAGCCCAGGAGTTCAAGCCCAGCCTGGGCAACATAGTGAGACTCCCATTTCTACCAAAAAATAGTAAGTTAGCCAGGCGTGATGGCACACACTTGTAGTCGCAGCTACTCCAGAGGCTGAGCTGAGAGGATCGCTTGAGCCCAGGAGGTCAAGGCTGCGGAAAGTCATGGTCACGCCACTGCACTCCAACCTAGGCAACAGAGTGAGACCCTGTCTTTAAAAAGGAAAAAAAATATATATATATGTGTGTGTGTGTGTGTGTGTGTGTGTATATATATATATAAAAAAGCATAGGTTCATTTTAATGTCAATAAATATGAATTCAAAAATAATTTTATTAGGTTTTACTTTTCTTTTATTAGGTTGTTTGCTATGTCTTTGGCTGATCTAACAAAAACCAATGTAGATGAGCAGTTCTCCAGCGTGGCATTAGAAAACAATAGGAGATCTGCAGAATGCAAGAGAAGCCCAGGCACAGGCGATTTTTCACGGAACAGTAGCGCTTCCGCTAAGAGTGTTGATTATAGCAGGTCTCAGTGCTCCTGTGGAAGTTTAAGTTCTCAGTATGATTATTCAGAAGACTTTCTCTGTGATTGTTCAGAAAAGGCCATTAATAGAAATTATTTAAAGCAGCCTGTGGTTAAAGAAAAGGAGAAGAAAAAGTACAATGTTTCTAAAATCTCCCAATCTAAAGGTAAGGAGTAAGATTTCCCAAGCAAGACCAAATTTCTGATCATAATGATGTTATTTTCCTGCACTAGTGTTTGAAGTGGTTCATACTCAGTTTTATTGTTTTCCCATATTGTAAATGTGTATTATAGGTGAACTTTTCTAGAAGAAATTAGGAAATAGAGAAATTAAGAATAATTATAAAATAACAGAGAGGCTTCAAATGTAAAGCCTAGCCCCTGCATAGCTTACCCTACTGGAGCCTACTAGTGAGGTTAGTTCCGTTTTTAGTTAACAGGTGGCCTTGTTACAGAGTACCACAATACTTGGATTTCACTGGCTTCTTGCCTTTCATCTCAGCTGAAGAATCAGTGTTTGAATCGCCAGTGAAATGTAAATACCTGTCTCAACACCCCAAGAGGATGGTCTCCAAGTCCGGTGAGGCATATTGGCAAAGACCATCTTTTGAAATGGAGATGGTTCAAAAGGCTGTTAATAATGTCATTTCTTTGCAGATTTTACCAATTCTATCAGGTCCCAGCTGTCCAAATTGGAATTCGCTTGTGCTATCTTTGATCTCCTTTCTTCTTCCTTCCCTGCCCAGACTGTAATTCCTTCCTCTCATTTTAGGCAATCTTGAGCTCATAAGTATTCCTCATATAGAAATAGCTGGAGCTCTTGTCCACATTGACAATCAGAGCACTTCAGTCAACAGGTGGACGATAAAGGGCCTGCTGTTTGGGGGGCACATCTGCCACTGTCATGTCCACACTGCATCTTGCGTCCCCAGCCTGCTGTTACCAGCTGTGTCCAGGACCCTCTGTGCCACTTCTGGAACCCCCAGAATCTTCAGTTCCCCTGCTATAGGGCAGGGATTCTTTATCTAAGACACATGGCTGTGAACCCCATGAAATTCTATGCATTTTTTTGTGTCTATGTGTGTTCGTAAACTTTTCTAGAAGGGCCTGTGCCTTTCACCAGAGTCTCAAAAGGTTAAATGTTACTTTTCTAGAGAGGTGGGGGTCCTACCTCCACTGGCAAGGCCCAAGGCAGGAAATGAAAAGTCCGCTCCTCCTCTCATGCCTGGACTCCATCAAAAATGACATCATGGTTAGATCCGACAAATACAGAATTCCTTATCCACATTTGAAATTTACAAGTCTCCAAAAACCCAACATCTTTCATATCCTTGGCATCAAAGTTGATTTGGCAACAAAAACCTTATTTGAACTAACATGAAGCAGATCTTTACTTAGTTCACTTAGTGTGAAGAGTCATTATATTTCACTGCAAAAGTATAGTTTCATTAAAGGGTGGTGTTCCAGATCCCATGAGAGAAATGTGGAAAATACCATATATGCACTCACCTTTAAAACCCCCCAAATTCTGCAACATACCAGTTCCAAGGGTTAACAATAAGAGATCTTGAATCTATGTACTACATTTTATATTGATCATAAGCTTTTGTGGGATCATGCAAGAGGGCAGTTAGCATTTATAAAACTTTCTACAAGAGAGAAACTGCATTTTGAGTTCTAAGTACCCTATAATTTAGCTTTTTAAAGCTGATTCCTCATTTATTTATTCAACAAATGTTTATTGAGTTCTTTGTGCAAGATGCCTGTTTATAAATTGAGAACAACCTAAATTCAGTTACTTCACAGGAGACCAGAATCCTAAATTCCATTATCCAGAAGAGTAAAAGGTTTGCTCTTACTTGGGTGTCCTTTTGTATATTAATACTCTGAAATTCTTTTAAATAAATCTTGCATGCATCTTTAACTCAGATTTTTATGTCCCAGGAAACCCTTGCCCAGCATATGATGAACGTAAAATACTAATTGCAACCTCAAGCTTTGTCACAGAACAATAAAGTATTTCCTCGTCTTTTTCTTTTATTCCCCAGTTCATGTTTTGCCAGTGTTTGCAGCAGCAAGTAATTTCTTCCACCCTGGTGTCATATAATTCTAACCCAAAGCGAAAGTCTTAATGTTTTAGCCAGTACAGCCCCTTCTCAAGCAAATGTTCAATTAAAAGTAGCTCTCTGACCCTAAGGGGAGGTAATGCTGAATGAGGAACCACCAACAGAGATTCAGAATTCACCAAAGAACAGTAACATCAGAGATTATTTTCAATTCCCATCTTAGAAAATTGATGAAAGCAAATTTTATGGCAGAAAGACATTTCATGGAGAAAATTACGAATATGAAATGAGGACTTCAATTTAATAGAATTTTTGCTTTGGTCAAACATTGGAAATTTACTTAACTCATTGTAAATAGCAAGCAATATAGTCATGCAATTTGCTTTTCAAAGATTATCCTTCTTTTCTAGAAAATGTCTTTTCAGAACTCTTTCAGTTACGTATCCTGTTAAAATTGCTTCCTTGACAGATTTTCTTTGTCAATACAATGCCAAAAACATGTCATGGTCATTCAAGACATTAGTATGCAAAAAAAAAAGTTAATTTACCACATCCAAATGCTTGGAACACCTTCTGCCCTGTTGTCCTTGGTCAGGTATAGGTGGACAACCTAAGGCAGCGCTGAAGACACACCTTCTCTAGCAGGCTAACCATGGAAACTACCGAGAACAGCAAGGGGAAAGGCTCCTCCTGTGAACCTCTTCTTCACCCTGGTTCGTGGAGAAAATGAGTTCATCTTTGTTAGGGTAAAATACAGTGCGGACCCCCCAGTCCGTATGTCAGAAGCAGAGCTGGAGTGAAGGTGTGGAGGAGCACAGGGATAGAAATGGGACAATGAGACCAAAGGGGACAATGACAGGAGAGGGAACTAGGATGAGGCCAGGCAGAAGAGGAGGAGGAAACAGCATGGACTAAGGAGGACAAGAGAGCTTCTACAGTAAGGGTTTGAGGAGGAGGGCAGCCTGGGGAGACAGGCTGGGAAGGAAGACAGGCCTGTTTGTAGGTGAAGTGAGCATGGGGACATTCTTAGAACTGTTCAGAAGAGCATACGTCATTATACATAATGTGCAGATGCCGTTTTGGCAACTATGGACTTAAATTTATGTTTGTGGTGAATTAAGTTAACTTGAGTGAATGTTTTATTTTAATTCAGTGGTTTAAAACTTAGTTGTCTTAAGAATAGTCATTCAGCTAAATCTGCTTCTATTATTTGTGAAATGGGATTGAAATTATAAATTATACCATTCTTATGTGTGGGTTAGGATAATGAGATATAAAATCGTTAAGGAATACACCCTATTCCAATTTTCCATAGCCTTTATAGTTACACAAGTATGTGTGATGGATACAGTATGAATTTGTTACATACCCCTCAAATGCAAGTGGTATACTTACCTTTCTGAAGCCAACAAACCTGGCTTGTCCTCCCCACCCACTCACTAGGGTAGACAGGAAATTCAATCTCAGACACGTTTGGGGAATGAGGGAATATGAGGGGGCAGGGATGTGGAAAGGGCCTTACACAAATAATATTGGGGGAGGAGCCTCTGCCTTTCATTTTTACCGCTTACCTGTTCCTTGTCCAAGCCACGTGATCTTTAAAAGGCCAGCCCCTCCCCTTTCCATAGCATCCATGCCCTCTGTGCACTTCTTGACTCCTGGGGCCTTGGCCAGAGCTCCTGGGGCCATGGCGTTTAGTCCCTCGGCACCCTCTAATGCCTCTGCCCTCCCATCACTTGAGCATGGCATAAGGGGAATATAAGCCTCCAGTGCCCGTGGATCCCATCATCCATCCTTCTCATCTCAGTGAAATCCCTATCTCCTCCAGGGTCAGAGCACCTAAGAGCTGGAAGACATTACAAGTTGGGGGTCAGGTTCAGTCATGCTGGCCATAGTGTAGAACATGTCAGTCTTTGCCCACCCCTATTTTAAACCAGCCTGATCCATATGGCCTGGGTCTAGAGCTTCCCTAGTCAGTGCCCAGAGTATTAAAGTGTACGGCCTCAACAAAACCACAGACACCTCTTCACAGGCCTTCTAGTAGATGTCCTAGAGGCTGGCCTGCTCTGCTTCCCACTTAGTGTGCTCAGAAGCCTATTCTAAAATACTCAATATTCAGCCATAGCCCCTACTAAACTGTGGGAAAATAAATACACTTGAAGGCATAATTGCAAAGATAGGCCACCAGTTACTGATGTGATACTGTGTTGTATAATCTTACGAGTTCTTTCATAGTTATGATTCAAATGCTTCATCTCCAGAGCATGCTTTGGCTCTCTTAGTTCATTGTTTCTATCACAGGTAGAATTGCCTGTTCCCACCCAACACAGACAGTGGGCTCTGTCTCACCACTTCCTAGCTGTGTGCTCATTGGCAAGGGACATCCCCAAGCTTCAGTGTGTTTATCTTTAAAATGGGATAATAGTACAGTGATTTACACATGCATTTAACATACTCAAATTCAATTATGTAAGCTTGGTGCTAAGTGTGATGTTTTTTAGAGACTTTTGCTTAAGACAGACCCCTGGGCCGGGCACGGTGGCTCACACCTGTAATCCCAGCACTTTGGGAGGCCGAGGCGGGCAGATCACGAGGTCAGGAGATCGAGACCATCCTGGCTAACATAGTGAAACCCCGTCTCTACTAAAAATACAAAAAAAATTAGCCCTGCGCAGTGGCGGGCGCCTGTAGTCCCAGCTACTCGGGAGGCTGAGGCAGGAGAATGGTGTGAACCTGGGAGGTGGAGCTTGCAGTGAGCCGAGATCGTGCCACTGCACTCCAGCCTGGGTGACAGAGCGAGACTCCGTCTCAAAAAAAAAAAAGGTAGACTCCTGAACACATGCCAATTACTTCATTTGGTGCCCAGCCAAAGTAACAGGAAAAATTGACTGTGTTGGATTTATTCAGAGATGGAAAATCAGTATCTGTACAAATAGATAGACTCTTATATAATTTGATGACCTTTTGAGGGTCATTTTGAATATATAAGTTCTTTACATTGGGCTCTCATGTTACACTCTAATTACCCTTAACATGTTGTTGAAAGGATTACATCAGATAATCTACAGAAAGCATTTAGTTTAATGCCTGACATATGATAAGCACTTAGTCAGCTATTATCATGGGGTTGGTTGGTTGGTTGGTTGGTTGGTTGGTTTTTGAGACAGAGTCTCACTTTGTCACCCAGGCTGGAATGCAGTGGTGCAATCATAGCGCACAGCAACCTCGAACTCCTGAGCTCAAGGGATCCTCCCACCAAGGCTTCCTGAGGAGCTAGGACTATAGGCATGTGCCACCAAGTTAGGCTACTTTTTAAAATTTTGTAGAGGCCAGGCACAGTGGCTCATGCCTGTAATCCCAGCACTTTGGGAGGCCGAGGAGGGTGGATCACTTGAGGGTCAGGAGTTCGAGATCAGCCTGGCCAACATGGTGAAACTCCATCTCTACTAAAAATACAAAAATTACCTGGGCGTGGTGGCAGATGCCTGTAATCCCAGCTACTAGAGAGGCTGAGGCAGGAGAATTGCTTGAACTCCGGATGCAGAGGTTGCAGTGAGCCAAGGTTGCACCACTTCACTCCAGCCTGGGCAACAGAGGGAGACTCCGTCCCAAAAAAAAATAAAAATAAACATAAAAAATTGTGTTTTTTTTAGAGATGGGATCTGACTCTGTTGATCAGGCTGGTCTCAAACTCCTGTCCTCAAGCAGTCCTCCTACTGCAGCCTCCCGAAGTGCAGAGATTACAGACATGAGCCTCTGCACCTGGCCTATTATCACAGTTTTTAGTCTAGCTGTTATAAATAGAAATCTAAGTACAGATTTTAGAGTCAAAGAAGACCTGGTTTTCAATCCATTCTGTGTCACTTTGTAGCTATGTAACCTTGGACAAATGATGTAAAATCTCCAGCTATAAAATATATTACAACTGACCTTGAATAATTGTATTAAATGAGATATTTATATGTAAACCACCTAGCCTAAAGCATGGATATTGATTAAATATTAGTCTTTTTCCCCTTCTAATTACACTTATGCTTGTGTGTATGTGTGTGGTGTGTGTGCAGGGGGGCGTGGGAGGGCGATTATGCATATGTGCATATTTGCATATCTGTATATATTACTAGTAATAAACTGGATTATCTGCTTACACAGGCCAGAAGGAAATCTCAGTTGAAAAAAAGCACACCTGGAATGCATCACTCTTTAATTCTCAAATCCATATGATTGCCCAAAGAAGAGATGCTATGGCTCATCGAATACTCTCAGCAAGGCTTCATAAAATTAAAGGACTAAAAAATGAATTAGCTGATATGCATCATAAATTGGAAGCCATCCTTACAGAAAACCAATTTTTGAAACAACTTCAGCTTAGGCATTTGAAAGCTATAGGAAAATATGAGAATTCACAAAATAATCTACCTCAAATTATGGCTAAACATCAGAATGAAGTAAAAAATTTAAGGCAACTACTTAGGAAATCCCAGGAAAAGGAAAGAACGGTATCTAGGAAACTTAGAGAAACTGACAGCCAGTTACTGAAGACTAAAGATACCCTGCAGGCACTGCAGAAACTTTCTGAAGACAAAAACCTTGCAGAAAGGGAAGAACTCACTCATAAATTATCTATTATCACAACAAAAATGGAGGCAAATGACAAAAAAATACAGGTCTGTATTTCAGGAGCCCAGACAGTTTAACATTTCGAAGTGAATAGAGAGAGGGTGTGAATTAATCATGGATGCGCCCCCTCTGTAACAAAGTGTTACTAACTGCTTCCCTTGTCATGCTACACTAAATAATTATTGTCTAATAGAGGGCAGGGTTTGAAGGAAAAACAGAAGCAGCTCAAACTAGAAATGTTCATCTGTTGCAGTGCACAAGAGTTCACTCTGTGGCTGGGCTGGTTTATGTGGAAATGACCATTGCACAAGAGTTCACTCTGTGGCTGGGCTGGTTTATCTGGACACAACCATTCTCTAAGAGAGTACAGCTACAGTGCTAAGGGACTTTTTCCCTGTGCTTTAAAGATTGCATTGTGTTACGTGAAACCTCTTTGAAGTCAACCCTCTACCTTAATCTGTTGATTAAAAGGCTACTTCCCTAAAAACCTACTCAGTGCATCCGTTCAGTACCTTTTGCATTCTCCCTCACCATTTTGGCCAGGCATTACCACACAAACATTTGTAGTTATTTTCAAAATAGCAATTTTTCCCAGATAATGTTCCTGGTAGTAGGGAAGGAAAAGGAATTAAAATAATTAAAGAGATGACTGGATTAATTTTCCTCAATGGTATATGGTTGTCAAAAGCCTGGGGATTACATTATAAGAGATGACTTGGGAGAAGGAATTGATACCATATTAAGAATTCTCCTGCATGTCTTAACATTAGATAGTTTGAGTCTGTTTGGACATAAACATAAATGGAATTAATTTAGGGTTTAATTATTTAATATTTGATGCTGAAACACAAGTATTTTCTATGATCTTGAAGTAAGTAAATATCTGGTTCATTTCCTCCACATTTTTATCTCAATTATTTCTTCCGTTGTTAAAATTCTCTATTTTCCAAAAAATTTTTTTCACATGAAATTGATATGTGATCTACAGAAAATAATGAGCAACCTCATTTTTCACTCTTGTATACCAAAGAGTGAAATATTATTTGGCCTTTTAGGTAATATTGTATTCATCTTAGCGTATGTCTGTCATGCAAAAGCAAATCTATTTTTATATATATATATCTAAATAGTTCATGTTTTTATATCCGTACATAAAACCAAAACAAATTCCATAACTATTTTCTTTGATACAAAAAGCACTTATCAAGTATGAGAAATTTCTGTTTGGTTGTAGGCATTTAGTGGAGGAAAACTGTTTTGTGAACCAAAACATGTGACTTCTGTAACATGAATGTTTTAGGGAGTGGTATTTTTAGTGATTCTTTCCCCCTTTTAGCTTTCCATGTCTTCCACTTTTCCTGTCTGGGAAAGTACTGCTGTTATAATGGAGGAGGTCCTACTTTATGTTAAAACAAAAACAAATGGTCCTTTTGGTAAGCCTTCTGTCAAGTCCGGATCTAACAGTTCTCAATAAAATAGTTCTCATTCCCGAGAGCAGATGAATATGTTTTGGATGTTTGAATATGTTTGGCTATTGAGTTAAATCAGTCATTTCATTGCCATATAGTCCATCAGTGTGGATGGATATGGTGGTTTAGGTCCCTTTTATAACATTCAGTTTCTGTTGTCTGGGAATGACCATCCATGATGTCTACTGATTTCCAGGATCTGGTCAGAATTGTTAAATCGGGTGGGTCACAGTGGCCTCATGCCTGTAATCCCAGCACTCTGGGAGGCCAAGGCGGGCAGATCACTTGAGGCCAGGAGTTCAAGACCAGCCTGGCCAACACAGCAAAACCCGGTCTCTACTAAAAATATGAAAATTATCTGGGTGTGGTGGCGTGCACCTGTAAACCCAGCTACCCGGGAGGCTGAGGCAAGAGAATCACTTGAACCCAGGAGGCGGAGGTTGCAGTGAGCTGAGATCGCACCACTACATTCCAGCCTGGGCAAGAGTGAGACTCCAACTCAAAACCAAAAAAGAATTTTTAAATCAAATTTTAGAGTATGTAAAAAACAGGCTCAAAACGTGTGATATTTGTTCTCTAGAGCTGGGATCTGGGATTTGGGGGCTTTCGGTTATACTTCATTCTAATATATGTCCCCTATATAAGCCATTCACTAAAATTGTATTGAAAATGTGCACTTTTTATAAATGTAGTTAGTTCCATGATAATTGAAGTTGTTAATATACTAACTTGGTTGCAGAATAGTTAAAATATATACTGTTTTCAGAGCTTGGAAAAACAACTGAGGTTGAACAGCAGAGCCTTTAGTCGGCAGCTGGCTATTGAGACTCGGAAGACTTTAGCAGCTCAAACAGCTACCAAGACTCTGCAGGTGGAAGTAAAACACCTTCAACAAAAACTTAAGGTATTTCTTTTAAAACAAAATGTAAGAATGAAATTCTGTTTCCCAAAATATATGAACTATTTATGCCCATTATATATTTAAGTGATTTTTTATTTTATATCTATATATACAAAAGTCCCCTCTCCCCTTTGCAGGGGGCCTGGGCCCCCATCCACAGTTCTGTTTATCTTTCTTTTTTTTTTTTTTTTTTTTTTTGAGATAGAGTCTTGCTCTGTCGCCCAGGCTGGAGTGCAGTGGCATGATCTCGGCTCACTGCAGCCTCTGCCTCCCAGGTTCAAGTGATTCTCTTATCAACCTCCTGAGTAGCTGGGACTACAGGCATGCGACACCACGCTTGGCTAATTTTTGTTATTTTTAGTAGAGATGGGCTTTTGCTATGTTGGCCAGGCTGGTCTTGAACTCCTGGGCTCAAGTGATCCACCTGCCTTGGCCTCCCATAGTGCTGGGGTTACAGGTGTGAGCCACTGCACCTGGCCTAAATTATGTAACTTCATTAATATCTTTCTCAGATATTTTCCCTACAATTATATGAACAGAGGATCTGCAATTATTAGAATGAGTTACAGCTTGGTGAATGTGTACTGTGATTAGAAAAATATAGTCTATTCATTAACAAGGCTTCTTGTTACCATTCTTATTTCATCACGTTAATATAGCATTTGTTAACATTTTAATGTAACTCAAAATTAATGTTTAAAAATATGTAATATTTAAGATATATTTTAATGACTCATAAATTTATCTTAGTTTTACTTACAAATGTGTTTGAAAAACTGTCTTTTAAAAATATGTATACTGCTTTAAAAATAAGAATTTTTAAAAATATTTTATCAGGCTTTTTGCTATCTTTCTGCCTTCAAGATTGGTAAAATGTCCAACAATTTAGATAAGATGCTTAAGAAACACTCAGTTTCAAGCCTCAACTAATAAATCTTAAGTTTGATTCTTTAAGACAAGGATCTTTAACTTTTTTTATTTTTAAGGAAGGCAAAAAAGAGCTCCTTTAGGCCTCTTTTACAAGGGCACTAATCCCATTCACTAGGATTCTGCCCTTGTGACCTAATCACCTCCCAAAAGACCCAGGTCATAAAAGTATCACTGTGGGGGCTAGGATATTAACATAAGAAATTTAGCACCATATCAATAATTTCCCTTTTTTTTTTTTTTTGAGACAGCGTCTTGCTGTGTTGCCCAGACTAGAATGCGGTGGCACCATCTTGGCTCACTGCAGCCTCAAACTCCTGGGCTAAAGCAATCTTCCCACCTCAGCCTCCCAAGTAGCTAGGATCACAGGTACATGCCACCATACCCAGCTAATTTTTAAAATTTTTGTAGAGATGGGGTCTCACTGTGTTGTCCAGGCTGGTCTCAAACTCCTGGGCTCAAGCAGTCCTCCTGCCTTGGCCTCCCAAAGTGTTACGATTACAGGTGTGAGCCACTACACCCAGCCTGATCTTTAACTATTTTATGACAAGTAGGCAATTTAGATTCCCCAGGAACCTTGAGATCACTCAGAGACAGGAGAAGAATACTGGGGGGTGAGGAGTTTGGACGGAGCTGGACGAGTTGGATAATTCATCTGATGAATTATGTTGGTATCATTGAGAACTGGGATTTGGAGGATGGAAGAAAGAAAATTATCCCTTTGTAAAGAAGAAAAAAGAGTTATTTTCCTTTTTTCTATGGAGTTCCAGGAAACTTGAAAAAGAATACACAGAACATAGGCATGGCTATTGCAGCTAGCTGAGAAATCTAACAGAAGAGACTTCAAGATCCCCTGGTCACAGCAAACACACACCCATATGGAGACACAATTGGGGAATTTTAAAATAAATTTTGTGCTTCCTCATGCAGACATATGAATATGAATAATATGCAGCCATTAAAAAAACCATTTCTTGCCAGGCGCAGTGGCTCACACCTGTAATCCCAGCACTTTGGGAGGCTGAGGCAGGCAGATCACCTGTGGTTGGGAATTCAAGACCAGCCTGACCAATATGGCGAAACCCCAGCTCTACTAAAAATATAAAAATTAGCTTGGCATGGTGATGTGTGCCTGTAATCCCATTACTCGGGAGGCTGAGGCAGGAGAATTGCTTGAACCTGGGAGGCGGAGGCTGCAGTGAGCCGAGATTGTGCCACTGCACTCCACCCTGGGGTGACAGAGTAAGACTCCATCTCAAAAAAATAAAAAATAAAAATAATCATTTTTAACAGAGAAATGCTTAATACTTAAAGAAATGCTTAATGAAAAGATAGAAAATTCTATATACAGTAAGATCCAAATTTATTTTTAAAAAGAAAATTAAATGTACCTCCACACAATGGATATCTATATATCTGTAAATAGCAATGAAGAATCTTGATGCACTACTATGGAATAATCTCTAGGATACATTGGTAAGTGAAGAAAGGGAGGCAGACGAAACTGTAATATCCTTGATATGGTTTGGCTGTGTCCCCACCCAAATCTCACCTTGAATTGTAGCTCCCAGAATTCCCACATGTCATGGGAGGGATGGGTAGGAGGTAATTAGATCATAGGGGCAGGTCTTTCCCGTGCTGTTCTGGTGATAGTGAATCAGTCTCACGAGATCTGATGGTTTTATAAAAAGAAGCTCCCCCACCAGGCGGTGGCTTACACCTGTAATCCCAGCACCGTGGGAGGCCGAGATGGGCGGATCACAAGGTCAGGAGATCGAGACCATCTGGCAAACACAGTGAAACCCTGTCTCTACTAAAAAATACAAAAAATTAGCTGGGCATGGCGGCAGGCACCTGTAGTCCCAGCTACTTGGAAGGCTGAGGCAGGAGAATGGTGTGAACCCGGGAGGCGGAGCTTGCAGTGAGCAGAGATCGCACCACCGCACTCCAGCCTGGGCGGCAGAGCGAGACTCTGTCTTAAAAAATATATAAAAAAAAAATAAATAAAAAGAAGCTCCCCTGCACAAGTCCTCTGTTGCCCACTGCCATGTAAGAAGTCCCTTTGCTCTTCCTTTGTCTTCAACCATGATTGTGAGGCCTCCCCAGCCATATGGAACTGTGAGTCCATTAAACCTCTGTCCTTTATAAATTACCTAGTCTCAGTTATGTCTTTATCAGCAGCCTGAAAACGGACTAATACAATCCTACTTAAGATAAAGGAAGCAACAGAAATATATCCACTTATTTGCCTACATTTAAAAAAGAAACCAATAATAGGATAACAGCAGAAAAAAAGAGAATAGAGTAGAAGGGACAGCTCTAGAACCTAGATTTCTTTGTGGAACCATGTAAATCTTTCCGTAAGTATGAAGCAGAATTAAATGTAAAAAAAAATTAAAAAGCAGCTGGGCACGGTGGCTCATGCCTGTAATCCCAGCACTTTGGGAGGCCGAGGTGGGCGGATCACCTGAGGTCAGGAGTTCAAGATCAACCTGGCCAACATGGTGAAACCCCATCTCTACAAAAATACAAAAATAAAAAAATTAGCCAGGTGTGATGGCGCATTCCTGTAATCCCAGCTACTCGGGAAGCTGGGGCAGGAGAAACGCTTGAACCCGGGAGGCGGAGGTTGCAGTGAGCTGAGATCATGCCATTGCACTCCAGCCTGGGTGACAGAGCGAGACTCTCTCAAAAATAAATAAAATAAAATAAAATTAAATTAAATTAAAATATAAAATAAATAATAAAATAAAATAAAATAAAATAAATAAAATAAAATATCCCTAAATATCCAAAGTAAAATGCAGATGAACCCAAATGTGTATACAGTTAGCCCTTTGTAACCGCAGGATGCAGAACCTGTGGACAGGGAACGCTGACTATATCCTATTGGTGGCACAAAGCCACAGAAGGAAGTCATTCCAAGTGACTCAAAACACATAATGTCATTGCATATGGCCAGTGAGATACACTGTAAGGACACAAATAACTTTACAAAAAATCTGACACTGTTTAGTAATGATATTGTTGGTAATGATGGCGACGTTGTTGTTTTGAGAATGTTGTGTATATCTTATGGGATACAGCTCCTGATAGATTATGGTGGTGTCATTGAGAACTGGGATTTGGGGGATGGACAAAAAAAAAGTACAGAAGAGAGAGTCAAATAAAAATCCTATAGTCCTGATTTTGATCTGAAGTGAAAGTATGCAATATTCTCAGAGTAACCAGGAGCAATGAATACCCCCAGCACCCAGGTTATGGTCTGTAAGTTCCATATCCCACTAAAACAAACCAAGGCTCCCTAAAAAATTCTAGCTCTGGTACAGGAAATACATTAGATGGGCCTGGAACGTATTGTCATACAAAAGCAAGGAAGCTATGAAGGACCATTAGGGTAGTATCAAAAGGACTCAGGCCCATCTAGAATAGGTTCCTACTGGCCAAAGATGGGGAAATTTGAGGATCAATGAAGATAACTGCCCGGGTTAAAACTTATCAAATGAACCCACAGTTCATAATGAGACTTAAAAAACTAAACGCCTCAGTGATGAGTCACTTGTGGAGGATGCTAGGGAACAGCATGCTATTTTGAAGACTGGTCAGTAGAGGACAAGAAGCAAACATTTTTACCTTTCCTGTATGAACGACTCCTCAGAGTAACCAAATCATTTGTGAGGGGATAAGATCCTGCTTATAAAAGCATTCCACTCAATAATGAAGAAGGAATGACAGGATTAGAATATCACTATTTTGGAAACTCCTAATGAATTAATGGCTCTAATCAATGATCATCAATGGCTCCTAGTATCACAAAAGAGATACGCGCTTCCTGACAGAGGTACACACCACCACCTACTCATGCCAAAGAACCGAACCTAAACCTGGTTACACACTGGGCTCTACCTACCAATTGAAAAGCAGAGGGGAGAACATGCTCAGGATGGGATGCAGTCAGCAGTGTGAGAATGTGGGAAACTGCATTACAGATACCCCCATTTCTACGATTAAGTAGCAAAGCAGAAAAAATAAGAGGTGAGAGTGAGAACCTATAGATTAAAAGACAGTAAGAGATATATTAATCAGTCACAGTGTTTTGAACCTTGTTTAGATTCTAATTCAAACCTTTTAAAAATGATAGAAAATGGGGAAAATGTTAAACAAACTGGATATTTGGTTATGTGAAGGAATTATTGATTGGGGGAAGTGGAATGAAGACACTGCAGTTAGGTTTTAAAAGGGATACCCTTGTTTGCTACAGATACTGAAATAAGTTATTAGAGGGCTAGATTTGCTTCAAATAAGCCAGGGCTGGGGAGTGGGGCCAGAGACAGTGGGAAACAGATATGAGCTGTTCATTAGTGAAGCCAGGGCATGGGCTCATGGAGGTTGACTGTACTATTCTACTTTATATATATATATATATATTTTTTAATTTGTATAATAAAGTTTCAAAGGGAAAAATGTTTTTGAGATTACATATTTTGTGCATTTTTAAAAGAGTAGAAATGGCTAGATCAAGAAGGTGGCCCGAACACATGCTTTTTGTCCCTCCCTGCCAAAGCCCCATAGAAATGAAAGAAAATGTATTTTTAAAATAACGCTCCAAGCCAGGCATGGTGGCTTACACCATTTTTTGTGAAGTTGAGGCAGAAGGATCTTTTGAGCCCAAGAAGTCAAGACCAGCCAAGGCAACAGAACAAAGCCTGTCTCTACAAAAAAATTTAGAAATTATCTGGGCATGGTGGCACACACCTGTAATCCCAGCTACTCCAGAGGCTGAGGCAGGAGGATCTCTTGAGCCCAGGAGTTGGAGGCTTTAGTGATGGCACCACTGCACTCCAGCCTGGGCAACGGAGAGAGACTCTTGTCTCTAAAAATAAATAAAATAATCCAGAATCCCAGAAAGGATACCAAAACTACCAGATCTAACAAAGAATTTCTGGAAGATAAAAAAGGGGTTTTTCTTTTTTTAGATTAATGAAACCAAACATAGACAATCACAAACTAAAATATGCACAGATACACACACACACACACACACACACACACACACAGAGAGAGAGAGAGAGAGAGAGAGACAGAGACAGAGACAGAGAGAGAGAGAACCGGACAGATGCAATACTGCCTTTTATGACCTAGCCTTGGCAGTCACACAGCATCACTTCTGCAGTGACAAGGTGGTCCTAGGCAGTTCAAGCAGTGAACTCCACCTCTTGGGAGGGTGTCACAAGGTCCTTGAAGAGCATATGGGACTAGAAATCTTGTCGTGGGAATTCTAGGAAAATACAGTCTGCCACATTAACGAAAGTCATTGTTTGAGCTTGGAAGAGTCTGGTCTCAAAGGTCAAAAGTTCCGTTTCCTTATTTTGAAACTCATTTTCAAAGTCATCCCACACCGAGGTCTAGGCCCACTTCTGGAGTATGAGCCGAAGTAAGAAGAGGGATATCAGCCTTCCACAGCTCCCACATGAGGTACTGCCACCCGTCTTATACCCAGGCTACAGTCACACTCCTGCATTAAGACAGTGCTTTCTATCTAAGTTCTGCAAGCCATCAACGCTGACCTTAATATGATTCCACACCATGACCCAACTTCCCCTTTAACTCTTACTTGATACCCTTGCGCTTGCAGGGAGTCTCTGCGCTGAGTATTCCACGAGCATTCCATGAACATTCCCAGCCACGGGCTGTCTTCTTGTTTGCCTTGACTGATTGAACCCAACTACACGAGTCTCCCGGGTTGTGTTCCAGCCTGCTGTGTTAGACTTCTGGCCCAGCTCTGTCGTGGTGCCCAACCTGAAGCTCTGCTCCAAGCCTCAAGGAGGACTATCCTCCAGGTTGCTTCCATTTGACCCCCGCCGCCCCTGTGGCAGCCCCTTGTTCTGTTCTTGCTCTGCCTCATTCCTGCTCTCTGTTGCTGACCTCCAAGTGTCCAGACCAAATCAAAAGGTAGAACTGAATTTTTCAGGTAACCAAAATTTGTCCCTGTAAATATGAAAATGTTTCTTAACCAGTATGGATGAAAAACCATTCTAAAATGTTTTACACAGTATCCTTCATCTGAAAGCTATTATCCAGAATATACCTGATCAACTTTTCATGGTGATTAACTGTCAGCATTTACTGTTCTTTTGGCTAAGTGTTACCACAATAAGAAAAGAGAGATGAACTGTTAATATTTTTGCCTCCAGAAACTTAAATTCTAGAAAAGATTAATATTCTCGTGTTTTATCCCTTTGTGTACCTCTGATAATAAACTAATTTTATGATTCAAATGAGTAGAAAACCTATACTGTACAATTCAGGTACAAAAATATGTCATGTTCTTTATTTTCTGTAACTGAGCCATACTTCCTTCTGAGCCCCGGTCCCACAAATTAGGGATGAGGGTGGCAGTTGGACAAGGAGAAATGGATACAAGCTCATCACAGTCTCTTCTAACTCCAGTCTTATGCTAGGTTGTCTCGTAGACTTGCAGACTTTTTCCTCATCCCTGTCTTCTGTCTCAGTGGAGATGGCATCCTGGGCATGAGAGAAAACATATGTGTGCTCTTGGTGGAGCGGAAAAGAGGCCTGTGGTCTGTGTTCTGCCCTCTGGCCCCTCTCTACACCTGCTTCTCCTGATGAGTGACTGGTCTTAAATTCCCAGGACCCTGTCTGATGTGTACTGAATGTGGCTGCTAAAACTCCTGGCCTCTTCTCCGTCTGGTCAAATAAATCCTGGTGATCTTCCCTTGCTGACTGTTGATGCAAATGCTCTGAGATGCATCCTCCATCTGATCTCTGGCTAGATTCTCTATCGCAAAGCCTGTGCTATGGGAGCACCTGGACCTGTAACCTTAAGGACTCCAGAGCAGGTGCAGCTCCCTCCACAGGTCCCACTGGTTGCACAGGGAAGGGAAGCACAGTCTCTGACCTGGAGACAGTATTTAGCCCTTTCTGACTTACCACTTGAGCAATACCACGTTACTTTAGCTCCATGATGAATGGGGCAGGGAGGCGCTTTTTACGGGGCTTGCAATTTTCCTGGACCACACTGAGGCCTCTTGCACTGAGACTTTCCCAAACTGCAGAGATGTTACTTACCCCCTGAATATCCCTTGGCCCATAGATTTGACCCTAAGGAGCACAAGGAGACGAGCGCACGCGCTCTCTCTCTCTCTCGCCCCCCCTCCCCCCCACCCCGCCCACCTCTGTGTGTGTGTGTGTGCATATGTGTGCACATGCACGTCTGTCACACTCTGACATCCCTGGCTTCCTTCCTCCTTACTTCATATATGCCCACCTCTCTTAACCATGGTGGTTACTAAAATTCAATGGTTGTGAGTCCAAAGCCTTTCTTGCCTCCTGGTGTACATATGAGAAGGAGCATTTGATATTTAATAAAAACCCTTTTTTTTGTTCCTCAACAAGTTAAGGTTTCAAAACATCTGTTTTGCCAAGACTCAAAAAAGTCAATATTGAAATTTAAAATGGAACAATGATACCCTTGTTCTAGGCTTTCCCCCACTGCCCTTGTCTAGATGTAGCCCTGTCTCATGGAACTTTCTATTAGATGGCGGAAATGTTCACCTGTGCTGTCCAATACTGTAGTCACTAGTCACACGCAGCTGCTGACCACTTATTGGAAATACAAATAGTGTGGCTGACGACCTAAATTTTAATTTAATTTCATTTAAATGAAATCACAACATATAGCTAGTGGCTACTGTAGGGCACAGTACAGAAGAATATTTCATAAACTTCAAGGCCCACAGGACAGAAGGAAAACAGTGGACAAGCTTACCTGCAAGGCTTTTCAAAAATACTGTCCCAATTACAATAATGTGTCACTTTGTTTAAAAAGCTAGTACTTTTTGATGTCAGGAATGGTATAGGATGATACGGCCTATTTCTGTTTCTTCTAAGATCTATAGATTGTATTCAGAGGATACTGAGCTCATTTAAATTGTTTTTAAAAGAAATCAGGGTTGACAAAAGCAAACATTTACAGAAAAATTGGTTTTGTGGTTCTTTTTAGGAAAAGGATCGTGAGCTTGAAATTAAAAACATCTATAGTCATCGAATACTTAAAAATTTACACGACACAGAGGACTATCCAAAAGGTATGTTTTAATTACTTTTGCTCAAAATCTATTTTTAAGTATCTAGTCAGATTGTCCTAATTTATGTAGCCAAAATAATGGATATTTTCAAAAATCACTTCATTAGGCATTAAAATACATTTTGTGATTCTAGAAGAATAATGAGACTGAGATGATGAGATGGCTAGAAAGGAAGAGAAATGCTTTCCTGTTCTCCCACCCTCAGCCCAGCCCTTTATGTCCTTTCTTCAGGTGGAGCAAGAGGATAACTTCAGCCTGAAGCAAAATGTCTGCCAAAACGGGAACTTTCTAAGTGTATCTGTTAGCCAGTGTATGGCTTTTCAAAATGAACTTTATTGGGGTATACTTTACCTCAATAAAATGCATCCATTTTAAGTGTGTACGCAGCTCAGTGGGTTTTGACAGATGCTTATACCGATGGAGCCACCACCCTAATCAAGATATGGAATATTTCCACCTCCCCAGGAAGCTTCCTCGTGTCCCTGCAGTCAGTAGTCCCCTACCTCACCCAGCAACCACTGACTTTCCTTTGGTCACAATAGCTTAGTTTGTCTGTTCTAGAACTTCGCGTAAGTAGACTCCCACAGCATGAACTCTTTTGTATCTGGCTTCTTTTGTTCAGCATCATGTTTTTGAGATTCGTCTCTACTGATGCCACTATCATTAGTGTATACCTCTCATTGGTGAAGAGTCTTCTTTCCTTCAAGACCACATGCACTTCCCCCCAAGATCTCCCAGCAACAGATTCGACTCAGACGTAGCATAGGAATACTCAGCCCTGTTTTATTAGAAGAAGTAGCTACATGTTTACTTCCAGATGCAACAACCTCAAATTTCCTTGCCTGCCTTTGTTTGCTTCTGGCTTATAATCTAGAATAATAGAGACGATGAATCAACCAAGGGGGTGTTTAAAAGATATAATTTCCTTCACTTTTCAGGGCAAGTGCAGTCTAGACTTAGCGGTCATGTGCTTTAGCACAGACAGTCTAACCACTGATAATCAAGAGCTCTGCCACAGGATGGCTCGGTGGCCTGGCCTCTCACAATTACACGTCTACCTTGTTGAATCCCATCCACAAAGGACAGCCTTGTCCTCCAACAGCAACACTGTCTTATCCTAACACCTACTTGTTTTGTACTCTAACACTGTGGGGCCCAAAGTAAGACAAAGCAAGGGCCCTGAAGGGAAAAACAGGAAATTTAGCAAATGCTATATATATACAGAATATTTAGAAAATACTTAGTATACTTAGTCTACTTTATTATTACATTGCATTAATGTTATTTTATATGTAAAATCAATATTGCATCCAAATGTAAAATATGTTTCTTACATATAATCTACCTGTTCTATAGTTTCTTCAACAAAATCAGTCCAAGCAGACAGAAAAAGTTTGCCATTCACAAGTATGAGACACCAGGGAACCCAAAAATCAGATGTTCCACCTTTGACAACTAAGGTACAGCAAACTTGGAATCTTGCAGTGTCTAATTAAACATGTCTTAACAAAAATAAATTAGGCTACAGTCACTTGTTCTATGTGAAAAGTATTTGTAATCGTTAGACTAAAATGCAATTTAAAGTTATCTAGACCCCCCAAAATGTGTTTTTGCTGCTTTTCTAAATCATAGGGTAAAAAGGCAACAGGAAACATGGATCGTAAAGAAAAATCAACTGAAATAAATCGTGAAATTCCTCACTGTGTCAATAAACTACCAAAGCAAGAGGATTCTAAGACAAAATATGAAGGTAATTTTAACAACTTTTTAAAGTCTGTCTTATTGGATTTTTTTTTTTTTTTTTTTTTTTTTTTTTTGAGACAGAGTCTCGCTGTGTCGCCAGGCTGGAGTGCAGTGGCGGATCTCAGCTCACTGCAAGCTCCGCCTCCCGGTTTTTTCACGCCATTCTCCTGCCTCAGCCTCCCGAGTAGCCGGACTACAGGCGCCCGCCACCTCGCCCGGCTAGTTTTTCGTATTTTTTAGTAGAGACGGGGTTTCACCATGCTAGCCAGGATGGTCTCGAACTCCTGACCTCGTGATCCGCCCGTCTCGGACTCCCAAAGTGCTGGGATTACAGGCTTGAGCCACCGCGCCCGGCCTATTGGATTTTTTTTGTTGTGAATTACTATATGTGTATATAAAGCACATGTAAAACAGCTGGGCATGGTGGCTTAGGCCTGTAATCCCAGCACTTTGGGAAGCTGAGGTGGGCGGATCACCTGAGGTCAAGAGTTTGAGACCAGCCTGGCCAACATGGTGAAACCCTGTCTCTACTAAAAATGCAAAAATTAACTGGACATGGTGGTGTGCACCTGTAATCCCAACTACTCAGGAGGCTGAGGCAGGAAAATCACTTGGACCCAGGAGGCAGAGGTTGCAGTGAGCTGAGATCATGCCACTGCACTCCAACCTGGGCAACAGAGTGAGACTCCATCTCAAAAAAAAAAAAAAAAAAAAAATCATAAAACAGTTTCCAGAATTATAATAAAAGGAACACCTGTGTACCCAGTACCCTGCTTAAGAAACAGTACATGAGTGCTCCTTGGAACACCCATGGGCCCTTCACAATCGTATCCCCTCACCCTGCCCACCAGAAACAACCACCATCTTGGGTTTTAGGCCAGTCATTCCCTTGCTTTCCTTCACAGCTCCCTGTCTATATATAGCTATATTCATCTGCTTGGGCTGCCATAAGAAAATACCATAGACTGCTGGCTTAAACAACATTTATTTATTTTCTCATGGTTCTGGAGGCTGGGAAGTCCAAGATCAAGGTTCTAGCCCTTTGGCTTCTGGTTGAGGCTCTCTTCCTGGCTTTAGATGCCTCACTTCTCACTATGTCTTCATGTGGCCTTTCCTTAGTGCTTGCACAAGGAGGGTCAGGGAGAGAGCACCAGTGCTCCACTGTTTCTTTTCATAAGGACACTAATTCCATCATGAAGGCCCCAACCTTGTGATCTCATTTAACCTTAATTAATTCCTTAAAGACCCAGTCTCCAAATATAGCCATACTGGGGAGTTAGGGCTTCAACATATGAAATTTGGGAGGGAGGAACACAAACATTCATTTCATAATAGTATCCTTAAATAATATATTCAGCTTTGGAAAACCGAGTAGCAAATTATTCAAATCCAGCTGAGCAAAGGGCAATATTGCCACTTTTGAATAAAGACTTCCAGGAAAAGGACTCCAGCTTCAGCTCCCCTGGATGTACAAGGGCCCAGTCAGTGGGTGAGGTCATGAATCATCCTGGGATCTGGCAGGGCTTTTCTGGGCAGGCCCCAGAGAGCTAGGGCCGAGAGAACGGGCTGCTCAAAATTTCTTATTCTAAGATCACCAAAGCTTACCTCCGGCTCTTGGGAGTAGGTGGAAACAAACTGCTTCTGTGGGGTGCAAGGAGAGTCCTCAGCTGGCCCAGGCTGCAGGGCTTGATAGAGAGTACACCACTTCATCAGCGATGGGCAAGACAGGCCAAGGCCCCGGCTCACCTGGTGTTTGGTACCTGGAGGTCTAATGGAACGGGGATCCCAGTCTGTCTCCTCATCTCTGGTGTGCAGCTAGCATCCTGGGATTGCCCTTCACCATTTCCTGCAGCTTCCTGTCACTCCCCTTCTCTACTGGATCTTCTCTTTCCTAAGCCAAGCCCTCCTCTTTCATGGTAAATTACATCATGTTTTAAGGAGCACAACCTTCACAAGCTTCTTGTAAATGGGTGTGGGTAAGGTAAATTTGTATACCTCTCATCTGGAAGTGTCATTATTCTGCCCTTACACTTGATTCATAATTGCCTAGATAGGAAACTCTAAGTTGGGGGTCATTTTCCTTTGGAATTTTGAAGATGTGGCTCATTGTTTCATGTTACATCACCACTCACGGGAGATCTGGGTGCAGTCCCGCAAGGCTGGGCAAGAGCAACTTCTGAGGAAAGAACATGCATGATGAATGAGTCCCAGAGTTTACTCAGGGCTGCAAATCAGACGTGTTCCCGTAGGCAGCATGGAGAGCCCTTGTTGAACACATTGGGCATTCAGAAGAGGACCAAGAAGGGCCTCACCTTAGTTGTAAGGCCAAATAATGTTTAAATAACACAGTAGTTTGACAGAACTCACCCATAAAGCCACTCTGTCTGTTGCAGTTTGGTGGAAACTGATCATCAGTTGCAATTGCACTGTGGTCACTGGTGTGTTTTTTTTGTTTGTTTGTTTTTTTTTTTTTTGAGACGGAGTCTCGCTCTGTCGCCCAGGCTGGAGTGCAGTGGCGCGATCTCGGCTCACTGCAAGCTCCGCCTCCCGGGTTCACGCCATTCTCCTGCCTCAGCCTCCCGAGTAGCTGGGACTACAGGCGCCCACAACCGTGCCCGGCTAATTTTTTGTATTTTTAGTAGAGACGGCGTTTCACCGTGGTCTCGATCTCCTGACCTTGTGATCCGCCCGCCTCGGCCTCCCAAAGTGCTGGGATTACAGGCGTGAGCCACCGCGCCCCGCCTGGTCACTGGTGTGTTTTAAGTTTTCCGCTTATTTTTCAGTCCATTGTCCTAATTCATATTGTCCTAGAAAGTGTATCCATTCATTTGACAAATACTTTGTGTGCATACACTATGTGTCAGACACTGTTCTAGGCATTAGGGAGACAGCAGGAAGCAAATGCAAAACCCTGCCCTCATGTGCTTATATTCTAGTATGGGAACACCTTTCCCCACCGGTTCACATGGATCCAGCTCATCGTCTATAATAGCTGCCTGGAATTCCACAGACTGCACATGCCATACCTTATTTAACCATGATTCCTTCGGCAGATGTTTGGGAGGTTTTAGTGTTACTAAACCAAGCTGCAGTGAACATCGTTGCACTTATCTTTGTCTATTTTTTGTAGGTTTGTTCTAAGAAGAAGTTGTTGGGTCTAAGAGTATATTCACTTAAAATGTTGATTGATACTGCCAAATTGCCATCCAAAAATGCTGTGCCAATAACACACCCACCAGTGGGGACCAAACATTCCCGTTGCCCCATCTTCTCAACAGCTCTAGAAATTATTTGCCGATTGGACGGATGAAAAATGTTCTCATTGGTTTGTTTTGTTTTGTTTTGTTTTGTAACAGCTCTGTTCTGTTGCCCAAGCTGGCATGCAGTGGCACAATCACGGCTCACTGCAGTCTTGTCCTCCTGGGTTGAAGTGATCCTCCCACCTTAGCCTCCTGAGTAGCCAGGACTACCGGCATGCACCACCACGCCCAGCTAATTTTTGTATTTTTTGTAGAGATGGGGTTTCGCTATGTTGCCCAGGCTGGTCTCAGACTCTTGGGCTCAAGCAATCCTCCTGCTTCAGCCTCCCAAAGTGCTGGAATTACAGGTGTGAGCCACTGCACTCAGCCATCACTGTTTTAACTGGCACTACATCCAGTTAGTAATGTTGAACGTCTATTAATAACCTGATTGGCAAATTTTATTTCTTCCTCAATGAATGTCATTTTTCTTTTGGTTTCATATTGGGAAATTCTAAGAAACTATAACATAACACATTTGTTAATATCACCCTTCTCTGTAACCTATTGTCTATGCATCTATTTTCTTACCTTTTCTGTCAATGTGCTTGTGAGGTGGTGCAAATAAGTGTCCTAGACATGCCATCCTGAAATAGAGATCCATTCATTTTAAACAGCACTAAATTGCCTATTTTTCTAATACAGATTTATCAAGGGAAGAGAAACATTTGGAAGTGCAAGTACTGCTGGAGAATACTGGAAGACAAAAAGACAAAAAAGAAGACCAAGAAAAGAAAACCATTTTTGTGAAAGAAGAGCAAGAATTACCACCAAAAATAATTGAAGTTATTCATCCTGAAAGAGAAAGCACTCAAGAAGATGTTCTAGTAAGAGAAAAGTTTAAAAGAAGCATGCAGAGAAATGGCATGGATGACACACCTGACAAATGCACTGCTCCCTACACGAAAGGCCCCCTCAGACAAAGAAGGCATTACTCATTCACAGAAGCAACTGAAAATCTGCATCATGGGCTTCCTGCTTCAGGTGGGCCAGCCAATGCTGGCAACACGAAGTACAGTCATAGTACAAGCAAGCATCTCAGTAACAGAGAGGAAATGGAGCTAGAGCATTCTGACAGTGGGTATGAGCCCTCATTTGGCAAGTCTTCCAGAATAAAAGTGAAGGATACAACTTTCAGAGATAAGAAAAGCAGTCTCATGGAAGAACTCTTTGGATCAGGCTACGTGTTGAAAACTGACCAATCAAGTCCTGGTGTTGCAAAAGGCTCAGAGGAGCCTTTGCAAAGTAAGGAGTCACATCCCCTGCCTCCCAGTCAGGCCTCCGCCAGCAATGCTTTCGGAGACTCTAAAGTAACTGTGGTAAATTCTATTAAGCCATCGTCACCTACAGAAGGAAAAAGAAAAATAATTATTTAAATATAATCAATATCCTAATGCATTCTGGTTTGATATAATGCTACTTATGTGCCTTGCATCTTATTTTTGAAATGTGTGAGAGAGGGAGTGTCTGTGTGTGTGTCTTTTAGTACTTAATTGACTTTCAATAATTAAATTTTTGTTTTATTGCTAATCTAGTAAAAAATCTATTTTATATTAGCCAATGATAACACTTCAAATTTACATCTTTACAACTGAAACATCCATTATCTTCTGGGAGACTGGTTTACTATATGGTTTTAGTATTCTGTGGGACTCCACAGCTAGTAACTCTAAGTTAGTCACTCAAAACATATGCATCTCATACACAACAAAATTTATCAGCAATAGAGTTGAATTGTAACTTAAAAACATGGAAGCAGGCCAGATGCAGTGGTTCACGTCTGTAATGCCAGCATTTTGGGAGGCCAAGGTGGGAGGATGACTTGAGTCCAGGAGTTTAAGACCAGCCTGGGCAACATGACACAACCCCGTCTCTACAAAAATTAAAAGAATTAGCCAGGTGTGGTGGTGTGTGCCTGTAGTCCCAGGTACTTGGGAGGCTGAGGTCAAAGAATCACTTGAGCCCAGGTCAAGGCTTCAGTGAGATATGATCGTGCCACTGCACTCCAGCTTGGGCAATCAGAGTGAGGCTGTGTCTCAAAAAATAAAAAAAAATCGGGCTCAAGCTGAACCACATGGAGCCGAATGATCAAATGAGACCATCTGCTAACACGGTGAATTGCTAGCCAGCAGCTTTGAAAGGGAACAATTATGATCAAAAGACTCTTTTTACTAAAACAAAAAAACATTGGCTGGGTGCCGTGGCTCACACCAGTAATCCCAACACTTTGGGAGGCCGAGGTAGGTGGATCACCTGAGGTCAGGAGTTTGAGACCAGCCTGGCCAACATGGTGAAACCCTGTCTCTACTAAAAACACAAAAAATTAGCCGGGTGTGGTAGCACGTGCCTGTAATGGCAGCTTCCCAGGCGGCTGAGGCAGAAGAATCACTGGAACCCGAGAGGCAGAGGCTGTAGTGAGCCAAAATAACACCCACCACTGCACCCTAGCCTGGGTGACAGAGCAAGACTCTACCTCAAAGAAAAAAAAAAATACAGATATGTATCTGTGTGTATGATGTATATGTATATATATATGTGTGTGTGTATATATATGTGTGTGTGTATATATATATAGTGATTACCAAGCTTAGTTTTATGGAATTTTTTTTTTTTTTTTTTTGAGACAGAGTCTTGCTGTGTCACCCAGGCTGGAGTGTAGTGATAACAATCTTGGCTCACTGCAACCTCCACCCCCCGGGGTTCAAGTGATTCTCATGTCTCAGCCTCCTGAGTGGCTGGGATTACAGGTGTGCGCCACCACACCCAGCTAATTTTTGTATTTTTATTAGAGACTAAAAATGGTTTTGCCAGGTTAGCCAGGCTGGTCTTGAACTCCTGACCTCAGGTGATCCACCTACCTCAGCCTCCCAAAGTGCTGGGAATGACAGGTGTGAGCCACCATGCCCAGCCATGACAATCATTTTTGAGTTTCTCTTATTCAGCTAACCTGGGTATCCAATGTCCTGCCTTTGTGGGTGATGCTTTCCTTGTGTACACCTGAGATCCAGTATCATTTATTGAGATTTGTTGCATACCTCTACGTTGACCATTTTTCTGTTAATCTTGTTCTAAAAACCGTAAGAGTGCCATGGCCCTGCTGGTGTTTATTCAAGATAGCTGCTCAGTCCTAACTAACACATTTACTAAACTTAGGATATTTTAAATTAGGACTATAAAAAGGAGGCTATACTCCCAGCCCCATTTTATTTAGCTTACCTTCATTTAGTTATAAGGGGGAGTTGTTTATAATCTAGACCATACTATTTCCTTTCCAATGATGTTTATGGGTTGGTGTGTAATATTAACTGCAATGGCAGCTACCTAGGAGGTTGAGGCAGGAGAATCACTTGAACCTGGGAGATGGAGGTTGCAGTGAGCCAGGATCATGCCACTGCACTCCAGCCTGGGTAACAGAGCAAGACCCTGTCTCAAAAGATATAAAAATAAATATATAGCCAGGCGCGGTAGCTCACACCTGTAATCCCAGCACTTTGGGAGGCTGAGGCAGGCAGATCACCTGAGGTCGGGAGTTCAAGACCAGCCTGCCCAACATGGTGAAACCCTGTCTCTACTAAAAATACAAAAATTAGCCATGCGTGGTGGCCAGCACCTGTAGTCCCAGCTACATGGGAGGCTGAGGCAGGAGAATTGCTTGAACCTGGGAGGTGAAGGTTGCAGTGAGCCGAGATCGCATCACTGTACTCCAGCCTGGGCAACATTGTGAGACTCCATCTCAAAAAATAATAATAATAAAAATAAGAATAAAAATAATAGACCAGGCGCAGTGGCTCACGCCTTTAATCCCAGCACTTCAGGAGGCCGAGGCGGGTGGATCATGAGGTCAGATCAAGACCATCCTGGCGAACACGGTGAAACCCGTCTCTACTAAAAAATAACAAAAAGTTAGCTGGGCGTGGTGGCAGGCACCTGTAGTCCCAGCTACTCGGGAGGCTGAGGCAGGAGAATGGTGTGAACCCGGTAGGCAGAGTTTGAAGTGAGCTTAGATCACTACAATTGGCATATGCTTTGATCTTTTATAAAAAGCATCAAAAAAGTATCTACAAAAGAAGAGGACAGAAGGGGTAAGGGGAAGGAGGGAGGGAGAGCTCTCACAGGCTCCTAAGGGGAAATACGCAAATGCAGTGAGATGACATAGTGGCCTAAATTCTGGAGGAATGTATTAAAAGGACTCCTGGAAATGGTATGCTGAGTAACATGACAATGTCTACTCCAGCTTCATAGCAGATAGAGGATTTTCCAAGGGATCTTTTCGTATGCCCACCCACAATAAAAGCACAAATAATATTATATCATAGAAATATTATGATTTAATATAATATTAAATCATAGCTATAATTAGAAGTGTAGAGAACTAATTTAATAAAAACAGAATCTAAGCCTGTTGTTGTCTAGTCATCTTAATTGTATGCATAAAAAAGTTAGAGGGTCACAGATTAACATGCTAACTTTTTATCTCTGAGGTATGAGATTGGGGCCAATTTTTAATTTATTTTTAGTGTTTTCTACTTTGGCTTTCTTTTGCATGTTTGCTATAATGAACATAACTGTACGATCATGGAAAAAAAGATTTTTAAAAACAAATCTATTTCCTGAGCTCTGAGAGAGAAGGTACTGCAACACTCTTGCCGGAACAAAAGCTAAAAATGCCGTACTAACGATAGAAAACGTCTCTAAATCGGCTGGTCAGCTGGTAAACACTCAACGAAATTAGGCACCCGAGGAGATAAGTAAGCAAAGCACTAAAGTAAGCTTCTGCCTAAAGGGCATTTGCCAAAATTAGAGAATTGAGCATCACAGACTCCTCCTGAGGACAAAACCCAGGCAGCCCAAGTTAGGGGGTCCCTTTTCCATACAATGCTGGGACCTCCCTGGGGTCTCCAGCTCAGTGAACTAAAAAATTGTAAGTAAAGAACTCAGATTCTTTACAGGTGGCTCAAGCCTGTAATCCCAACACTTTGGGAGGCTGAGGCAGGCAGATCACTTGAGGCCAGGAGTTCGAGACCAACCTGGCCAACATAGTGAAACCCCGTCTCTTACTAAAAATACAAGTATGAGCCAGGCGTGGTGCTGCATGCCTGTAATCCCAGCTACTCAGGAGGCTGAGGCAGGAAAATCGCTTAAACCCAGGAGGCGGGGGTTGCTGTGAGCCGAGATCACGCCACTGCACTCCAGCCTGGGCAACAGAGCAAGATTCCATCTCAAATTAATTAAAAGAAAAGCTAGCACGAAAGACACGCAACTCTTCTTTCACTTGAACGTTTAGAAGCCACCATTATTATTGAAATTAGGGGCCAATGTTGCCCTACTTTCAACATTTTTGTGTCTTAAGGAATAGGGAGCCCTGGGGAGCGGGGAGAGACGGGAATGGCCAAGTCAGTGGAGCAGTCAGAACCCACACATTTATACATTAAATCTGCTGCCTCGTACGGGTGTAATTGTTGATGCCCCAAAACAATTACCATAGTAACATCAAAGATCACTGGTCACAGACCACCATAACATATAATAATAAAAAATATGAAATGTCGTGAGAACCCCCAAAACGTGACACAGAGACACAAAGTGGGCACATGCTGTGGATAAACGGCGCTGACAGACTTGGTCGATGCAGGGTGGCCACAAACCCTCAATTTGTGAAAAAGAGTGTCTACGGAGCACAGTAAAGCGAAGCACAAAACAGCCATGTCTGTGTGCTGAAGAGCATACGAAACCAAACAACGTATTTTTACACATTCAAATATGTGATCGACCATGACGAATAGGAAATGATAAAATTCAGAGCAATGGTGTTACCTTTGCTCAGTTGGGATCGCAAAGGTTCTTCTAAAACTTGGGTGAAAGATACAAAGATTTGTATTTTCATTCTTTAAAATTTACATATTTTAAATATTTTATACCTCTCAATATTTAATAAAAACTATTTTTTAAAAAGATTCAGGAACAATGGCTGGGCACAGTGGCTCACACCTATAATCACAGCACTCTGGGAAGCTGAGGCAGAAGATCACTTGGGGCCAGGAGTTTGAAACCAGCCTGGACAACATAGCAAGACCCCATCTCTACAAAAATTTAAAAATGAGCCCACAGTTGTGGTACACACCTGTTGTCCCAGCTACACAGCAGGCTGAGGCAGGAGGATCACTTGAGTCCAGGAGTTCGAGACCAGCCTGGGTAACACAGTCAGACCCTGCTCTCTATAAAAATAAAAAAAGAGAAACAGCCAGGCATGGTGACACATGCCTGTAATCCCAGCTATTCAGGAGGCCAAGGCTGGAGGATCGCTTGAGCCCAGAAGCACGAGGTTGTAATGAGCTATGATCACGCCACTGCACTCCAGCCTGGGTGACAGAATGAGACCCTGTCTCTTTAAAAAAAAAAATACAGGAAAAGAATTTGGC